TACATACCACAAGCAGCTCTGGAAATTTTACCATCCAATTCGTCATTTTCCCTCGGTCTTTTGCTTCGTGTTTCCATAGTATGCCTTCGTTCCAAAACAAATCCAAATTATTCCAAACGAAACCGACCAGTAGAACCAGAAATTTGGATCCAAAATTATTGTCCAGACAAACCCACTGTATGGGCACAGAACCAGAATTCAAGAACTTTATGTCACGTCCAAGATTTTGCTCGTTCCCTTTATTGAAGTACGGTTTGTCGATCTATTTGCAATTCACGAACCCAAATTAACAATAGAACCAAATTCCAATTAGATACCAAAGTTTATTCGCGATTTACAAATAGTTGACCTAAATGTCGTTCTAACAACAATAATTATAACAATTACAAAACAAACCTTCAATTTTGTAGGTTCCCGGAGCAAAAACTCCCAAACACCAAGCCAATGACAGAGAGAAACCGAAATGTTCGAAATCAATGATGTAAACAAGTTCAAAAGTTAGGTAAAACAAATACATACAAAAACACAGTAAAATTATTAATATACAAAAAAGGTTTTAATCAGACAAATGTCTTCAGTTCTTCCGTAACAATGACGGGAGGAAATGTCAAAATTTGATTGATTTACTCATTATGATTTTTATTTAACATTACATCCGCTTTAAGTTAATGTAATGATTACACAGCGCAGTATTCATTTCTGTTTTCCGGCATGATATTTTATTCTGTGTAACATACGATATTCTTGTATTTATTTGAAATGAGTTATGCTCAACATGTGACTTGTTATAACTGTAACTGTTTCTCATATATGTCATTTCATTCTAATTATTATTCAACATGGGTGTACAATCAATGTACAAATGAGTTTATTTTTGACTAGAGTCGTTGTCGGGTTTTGGGGGTTAGTAAATTTTCACTTTTATCAGTCTTTCTGTTCTTACTTTCGCTCTGTGGGAATTGCAGAGGTATAAGTGATCAGTGGTAAGCGTTTCTGACATACAAAAAAGGTTTTAATCAGAAAAATTTCTTCAGTTCACCCGTGACAAGCTGTACATCAAGGTTGTAGCAGGTAAATAAATTCGATAAATAAATAAGTAACCTCAAATCTTGTACGATGCCGAGCCGTGACGGATTACATGCACGGCTGCTGTCATCTCTTGCGGACATTATTTCAAAACCGCTCACGACACTCTTCAACATGTCCCTTCCACTCGCTCGACCCCCTTGAGATTGTAAAGACGCTATTGTCAGTCCTATATTTAAGGATGGTCAGAGACATATCGTACCTAACTACCGGCCTGTCAGTCTAACTAGCATTGTCGTTAAGTTGCTTGAAAAGATAATTCGGGTTAGGTTGCTAAGCCACATAGATTCACGCAATCTGTTAGCTCCTGAGCATCACGGATTTCGTAACAAGCGTTCATGCTTGACTAACTTACTTATTGCGGGAGAGAATTGGACAGTAGCCCTAGATAACGGTCTGTCTGTCGATGTGATAGATTTTAGCAAAGGATTCGACAAGGTTTCACACTTAGGTCCTATACAGAAGCTCACGAGCTTCAGAATAATAGGTACTGTAAGGGAGTGTATAGGTAAATTCTTATGTGACCGCAGACAGAGAGTAAGGGTCAATGGGACGCTATCCGATTGGAAGCCGGTCAATAGTGGCGTACTTCAAGGCACCATCTTAGGCCCTCTGCTCTTCCTTCTCTACGTTAATGAGTTACCGCTATTGCTTAGGTCGTCGACATTATTGTCTGCGGATGACGTAAAAATCTGGAGAGCAATGAAAAGTGAGGCTGATCATTTTGATCTCCAAGCGCACTTAGACGAATTAGTTAGATGGGCTCGAGATTGGGGCTTAGAAATCAATTCTAGGAAGAGTGTGCTAATGCACATCGGTCACGGTAATAGTTACCATAATACTATTGATGATAAACCTTTACCATGTGTTCAAGAGCGTAAAGACTTAGGAGTAATAATAAGTCATGATTTAAAAACAACTACGCATTGCAGTGCAGTCGCTGTCAAAGGTTTTCGTGCGTTATGATCACTTTGCTAAGAGTTCAAATCTTTTGACAAGAAAATGTTCCGAATATAACATTTAGGAAAACGAGGGCAATAACTATATGGCGATGTAAATTTTGGAGATAGGAAAACCATAAAATTCGCTGTGTGAATTTACAGATTTCATTTTACAATATTACTGTCTGATTCCCGTTATAACTCAGTTATCAGTTCAACATACCCCAAATCCTGTTTCCTCAGTTATAAAGATACTTCTGCGTTTATTTATTAAGACGCTGTAACAACAAGCGACGTGGTTACTGATGTAGGAACATGGTTGTTTCAGTCTCAGAACTAAAGTCAATGTTTCATTTTAATGAAGATTTGTTCATTAAATCTCATATATTGGTTGTGAGTGCATTAATGGAACACATGCCCAGAAAATCAAATCCGGAATTGCACTCAAAATCTATAGACATATTTAACGAGGTAACTGAAACATCTCGTGATGTAATAAGAAACAGTTTTGTGATTGAAGACGTCAACAAGTTCTTTAATAATGTTGACCCTGGGCAATGTTTAAATGCTCTTTTATCAGTTTCGTCATACTCTAATTGTTCAGTCACCTCAAGTGAAATTCAAAATAATTGTGAGACAAATGTTTAAAATGAATCGATTTTTGATCAAATTCTTGATGCTGTCAATTCAGATGCTGACAGTCCTAATGATTCATTGGTTTCTAATGAAGTCTTTAGTGTATTTGAGAAAATATTTTAAATTATTCAAATCCTGGAGATATCATAATAAATGTTTGTTCGCACAAGTCATTCGTTTCTAGTGAAAACCTTAGTCAATATGAAGCACAAGTTCCCAATGGGTTCAAATCTATTTATAGTTCTGATGGGCTCATATCATATGTTACTTACCCTTACAATCCATTTGCTTCTAGCCAGTGTAAGAAAAAATGTTTTAAACGAGTTATACTGTGATCACGTTTCAGATGTCATTGTAGATGTTGGGTCCTCTCACACCTCATGTATTTTACATAGATTCCCTCCTCCATGCTGTTATAAATCAATTGACGTAACAAGTGTTTGCGAAACCAGAATGTCCAGGAGTCACAAAAAGATCCTTCAACTTCTGTGTATACCCACACGCCACAATGTGCACATATAATAAGGGTATCAGTTGTGATAAAACAGTTCAGGTCAGTAAGGTCACGTTATTAGTAACATGAGTACATGCAAATCCAACATTGTTTCGTGGGTGGGGGAGAATCATTTGCTTAAGTATACATAATGTGACAAGCATATACATCCTTCCACTAGCTTGGTCATATTGTGAAGTGTAAGAATGCACACTTTGTTTTGCTTGCACAATTAGTTACAATTTCTTAATATTTTATCATATTTGCTTAGTCAACACTATTTGACAAGCGGTGGATCAGAGGTATTCTAGACTGCGTCTTTGTAATCACACCAATCTAAAATATCACTAAAGAAAATCACTATTGAGAAACCATAGGATGTTGCCGATCGTCATTCGTTGGTATAATATTATTAACATTCTCGTAGCTTATTTCATTATAATTTGCACCCTACAAGTGGCTGGAATTTCTTCAAAGATAGATTTAATGTCTACAAGTAAATAATATAGTTGCGGTTCTTCTTTCAATGCCCACTCATTTTGGTCAGGAAAATTAATTTTTGGTGACTCCGTATGATTCATTCATTTATTATATCATTTTCGACGTGACGTGTCAATCATCGTTTACCTACTTTTTTATTTCTATAGGTATTACCCCCTTACATCCACCATCTTTTAACAACATAGGTCCTATTTTATAGTTTGTGTGGGAGACAAGCAGTTTCCGAACTCCAGAAACAACTTATTGATTCTCAAAACTCGAGAACATTAATCTGCTTTCACCAGATGGATTATCAGAGAAGACGAGAGATTGTAGTGGCTGGTACTATGTCGAGCCCACATAGCTTATCCTAGCTTCTGGACAAGCAGATTTATCCACTCTTCTCAAGCTACATTTTAACCTTGTTAATTATTCACTTATCAACCCTGACTGCTTTTATATGAGCGTATGTGTATATATCTTATCCTACTCATCACATGTCTGTAGCTTATTTTTGTGTGACCATAAGTATCGATTAACGCTTGGTTAAATCAAGTTGGCTCACACGCCTTTTCCACTGTGTCCTTTCGTTTCGCCCTCTTCTTCGCTGCGATTATCTGTTCTGATCAACGAGTATACAAAATAGACATATTCAAACATCTATTCTCGTATTTGAATTATTTGATTCCGTTACTCACTAATGCGGATTAATTCGATGATTGTATACGACGATAGCCAGGATGTATATTTCGATAACAATCATTCATACGATCTACTTGGAGTCATATAAGGGGACACAAAAGTGGTGGTCCCGTCGACAATATTGTCCGATCTAATTGATATCGAAATGAAGGACACTACTAAAACATTTACTCCTGAAATTAAACGCGTATACTCTATGATAGGCTCTAAATAAGTAAGTAATTGGGATTATTTCACTGCCTGATCGATAGACTATAAATCAGATACTTAGTAATCTTCAAATATGTCACTGAGTGCCATAGCAAACAGTAAAATTAGAAGGTTGAAAAATGGACTTCTCTACTGACTTTTGCTGAGGACGAATGAATAGACTAGTTCTTCATAATATAGTTTAGAGAGGTTTGCGATTACCTCTACTCGTGTGTATTGTAAAATTCCTAAAAAGCCGAGCTCTTAAGTTTTCATTTGATCAATGAACTTACATGACTGGTCTTTTGAGTGTGGTATTCTTTATCTATTGATCGAAGTTCAATCTCAACCTTTACTCTATGAACGATAGAAATCTCTAGCAGACATAAATGTTTAACAGTTAGGAGGATTTAGATCGTCCAGTAAAAATCAAACTAGAGATATGAGATATAGAAGCATCTAACACTGGCTTTCTTGCGTAAAATGATTTTAAAAAAAAGTAACGGAGCATAGGAATCAGTATTCTACAGGAAATGAATGTAATAATTGGCAAAGTAGAAGAAATTGATACACACACAAATACAGTAATTTATTGACATACCGACCCGAAGGAAAATATATAAAATATTCCAATCTATTAGAACAAAGTAATGAGGAGACTGGGAACATACAGATGTTAATTATATGAGTATGATTTTCTTTTAAAAAATATGCATAAATATTTATTCGGTTTGATCCTTATGATACCTTGAATGTAAAATGAACATACCAGTAAAGCCTTGATAGATAGTTTTACTTATCGAAGTGCTCAACATACACATAAATATTTGTATAGTATAAACACTTACTCAACAAAAGTTTTATACAGATTAGTAACCAACTTTAAATTGGCTACATATAATCTTATTTTCAACTAAAAATTCAATTTTTTTTGTAAAACAAAAGAAATGAACACATTGGAAAAAAAATCGACAAATTAACAACCATAAGTTTACAAAAAACAATGAAATAATAAAAAATCTAGAAAAAATTGGGCTGACTAGTTTTGTAGTTATTTTTTTTTTCCTAATATAAATGGAGGATTACAAAAACAACGAAGTGTTTGATGGGCGGTGTTAAAAGAAAGAAGCCAGTTTAATCTGTTTGAGTATCAGCAGAGAGAACGTTCTTTGGCTTGTAACCTTTCAAAGAAAAGAAGAAGAGGGGAAAGATGAAATAATTAGTTTCAATGGGATAAATCATAACATTGAATGATATGAAGTTGAAAAATGTTGAGTTGCGAAAATTAGTTTCGTCAGTGGCATAGACATTATTTTGTGAAACAAAGTGATATGGTATTATTAGCCGGATAGGATTGTATGCATTAATTTCTATTTATGCGTTGATAAGGATGGTCAACTTAAGTAATTAGGAGATAGGTACCGGTTAAAGATCTAGCTAAATGTAAGATGATTTGCTCCTCCATGATAATAAGAATGAAAGAATATTCAGTCTTTTTTTCATACAGGCAAGTACACAAACAAATAACAATATGTGATACACTAATTGTTCTAGAAATCTAAATAGGTAGAGAGAGAAAGTTGAATAAACCTATACATATCCAAAGACCACTGGCCCAATCTTATAAGAGTCACTCAACAGATTATTAAGGGTTTTGAAATACAAGGATTTGGAACTGTAAATAACCAGATTTCAAACTTCAGTGGTCACTTTCGACACTCTAACGACATACCTTTAGTCAGAATACGAATTCACTTTAGCAAAAAAATTGACACTAACCTAATTAAGAAATAGAAAAGTTTACACTCGTTCAAAGAAAGAACTTTTTCTCTTTCAAAACAAATGACCACTTTAATTCGGATTACTGCTACTTTATATATGAATATATTCTTAAAATTTTATGCTTACAACTCAATTTTTTAAAGCCTTTTGAGATAAACTTTAGTCTATTTTTAGATGTTCTTATTGTCTAGGATTAAAAAGACTATCCAATTATAAAAAGCCTATGTGGACAGAATTTTTATTGTAAATTAAACTATTGACGGTCCTAATGGAGTACTGAATTGATAAACTTAAATTGTTACATCCATTCATTGCCTTAGTACCAAAAGACATAAATTTCGACTGGATTACTATTAAACGATAGGCACATTAAGTTGGAATAGATAAAAGAGAAAATCTACTTCTTCTACTTCACTTAGGAAAAAAGTCATATTTAAAACTTCGATGAACAAACAATGTTTAGAACTTGGTCCCTAAAAAAATACTATTTAATAACGCCATTAAAAATACAATATAAACACAGTCAAGTCTATGTATTTTCCCGACATTTGTGGTACAACTTTACTTATTTCAGGTTTATTTACTTAACCTTGAGTCACACTATAGATCTGCTCAAATTGATAGAAGTGAGTAAAAACTCTCAACATCTAGTCGAAAGTCAAAATGTATGCACAACTAAACTACCGCTTAAAACTTTAATCAAACAAAAAATTGAAAATCACACAAGAATATGTCTCAGTTTATTTCTAAATTCTATGATTAATAGACAAAGTCATATGAATTTATTAACACTGGGAGTGGTGGAAAGATTTTGGTGGAGTTTTGTTCTCTGAGCTGGATGGTTTGGTCGTGGAGCTTTCATCGTTCTTCTGAACGACATCATCAGCACAAACTTCAGATAGAAGTGGAAAGAGGAATAAGGGAGATAGATAAACATGATTTACAAAGTTATCAACAAAATCTTCTAATATAAGCAAATATGAATAAGAAGTTTGTATTTGATAAGTAGGCGTACATTAATTACACACTATGCATATAAAGTAACAAGAACAGATGTTCTTCCAGTGAATATATAAGACAGTGATTTTTTTCCTCTTATATAAAACAATAATACTAAATGAAGGAATTAGACTAGTTACTATCGTTACTAATAAAGAGAAAAGCAAAGGATTTAAATGACTGATCTTATGTTCACCCCATAGTACAAAATAAAATAGACAGGAAAATTAATTTAAAAAAAACCATTTTATTCAGACAATAAAATTCTACAAATGAAAAAAAGTTGCATGTATGTATATGGAACAATGAGAAATCAATTCATATACCTGACTTTCAATGCTTTTAATATCTCATAAAGATAAATATCACTTATGAGGGTTATTTTTAAGGTAAACAGGAATTTTCAATAGACAATGTTTTCTTTAATATTGATGACAACGTAATTTTAGTTGTTTTCTTTATGTAACATACTATCGGACAATCGTTTAAGGAATAAGTTCAATATTAATTTTTAAAAATACAGTATTTACAGTGAATAGTGGGTTTTACTTTGGTATTCGGATTAACGAAAAATTTGCTTCGTTATGTAAAGTATTTTAAACAGTAATTACAAAACTTCATCTTTGATATTACTGAAATTACAAGTAGAAATAACAAAATATGGTGACTAAATATATATTTGTGTCCCCTTAAATTATTGGATAGGAGGATGGAATTTGGTAGACAGCTAATCATTTAATGTTTTAAGTTTATGCTTTCCTCAAAGGTAGGGTAAAATCGTAAATATGTATCACAAGACTGACTCTCTGCATGATAAAATAAATGGCTACAATGGTATTTCACATTTTTATTTTAAAGTACTGCGTTAGCGAAAACGAGTTTGGAAAATAATATAATTGAAGGACAAGTTTACTGACGACACATAGATGTCTTCGAAGCACTGCTCGTGTAAAAGCAAGAAAATCGAATGAAAAATACTAAGGTTACACAAAGTAATAGATAAAGTGATATATGACTAGTGGAAGTAAGATGTAATTGATCACTGAGCGTGGACAGATAGACACGGCTTGCTCACTATTTAATATCTGGTTTCTTTTCTAACAATGATTTTTAGTCTACACTTCATTGAGTGTAGACTACTTGTAATCTTGTTGAATAAAGTATTATCTAGTCTGTTATCGGATTCTCTATATTTGGTCTCAAATCAAATATCTGATATAAGTGATTTTAGTCTCAGTATAAAACATCAACTGAGTGCCCAGTCTAATGGTAGTACAATTTTAGGCATGGACTGTATTAAAGTAGTATATCATGGCAAACAGATAACTTTATTTTGCTTTTGCACTAAAAACGTAGCAAGTCGATTAACGAGGCTATGAATCTTCATCTACCGAGACGGTCAGAAAACATATCACGTATCCTCAGCCATTCTCTACGTGAAAGCGCAACTGCCAATTGTCATTGAAAAGAAAGCTAGTCAAAGTCAAATGAAGGCATCTTACCAATCAATGGATTCACAACTCTTGATGTGTTTTATTTTTGTACGTGAAAACTATTTAGTTGAGGTGCGAACGATAACTACTCAGCAGTTGGAGATATCGTGTGATAGGGCTCAAAACTGGTCATTGGCCGATTTATCTTTTTCTTCCCTTAGAACTTGAATTTCAGTAATTCATAAGACATGCTTTCTTTTAGATCCATATTCTCAATGTTTAGTATTTTTACTATTATAGACATTTTTTTATAACGCTCAGATTTTCTTCGTCTACACGACTAAGACGTTAATTTGCCTTAGACAAATATCTACACTAGATTCCCTTCCAGTAACTACTCTGCAAGATTTACAACTCAGATCGAGAACACGTGATTAACCTGACTAGAACGTAAATAAATCTTCACACCAAAAAAACTCGACAACAATCGCAATAATAAGGATAAGAGAATATATAACTCATCTAACACCTGTCAGACTATTTATCTACAAGTCTGACTAAGCAAACAACCAATCATTCTCACCCACACATCGATATCCTAACTAGTTCAACTGGTTTATTATACATCTTAATTCTATATCACTATGTTTATTTGGTGTGCCAAATAGAATATATATATCCCAGGTTTTCGATTAATCACAAATGTTTCATTGATATTATTGCAAAGAGAATTAAATTAGTATAAAAACAAAGAAAAAAAAATAATTCATTGAAATTTACACGAAGAATGTACCTACCGTAAGGTAATATCCACTTTAACTTTGGCCAACGTGTACATAATGGATCAAGTAGAAAATTCAATTGAATTTGTTTATCTATTTGTAAAGTAAACTTTTGATATATTTTAGATGTAAATTGTGTTAATTTATTTAAATTATTAGTTAATTTATTAATAAAAATTGATTTATATGATAATTTTGTTAATGTCATATATTCATTGGAAAGATTAACATCTCTATTCCCATCTAATACATTATTACATCCAGGAAGATTTTCTGATTCATTCTGTATTATTTCAACTGGTATTACTAATGAATTAGTATTTGATAAATCACTATTATAATCATAATGTTTCGGTAAATTACCACATGATAATGGTATATGTACAGAAATAATTGGACTTAATGCTATACGCCATCGAAATGGCCATGGAAGAAAACAAGCTAATGATAAACCAATTAATATATGCCATATACTATGATGTTTTGTATAGTTATGTGTTGATTGTCCATGAAAAAACATTGATGCACCGATAGTTGCAAATAATACACCTGGAATAAAACTAATTATCCACCATTGAATTGGTGGAAATAAACTTTTCAGTTTAATGCAGAAATTTATCTAGAGAATAAAAATAAATAAACAAGAATAAATGCTTGAATTCCAATTTACAATGTTAATCATTTCGTTTTTTTTTAAAGATAAAATAGTTTCAAGTACATAATGCCTAAACGAAAAATGAATTGTAGTAGATAATTAGGTATTCAATTCTTGGGCAACTAGTGACCGATAAAACGTATATCGTATAATTCCTAATGGCTTAAATAAGTTTTAATCAAATAGAAAAGATCAACTGTAACTAGCACTGGAATTCAGAATGCCAATTTCATCCTATTTTAAACCCATTAGCTGAACATACTTATATTTCAGTGTTGATGTCCACATTGGAACCCAAACAGTTATTAATAAGGTTTCAGTTATGATTAAATTGTGTTTAGTATATTATCTCTTAGTCTATTAATCAAGATAAAAAATATTTTTACTGACGAACTGTTCAGCTTGATGGTTACTTTATTGAAAATTCCTGTTTAAACATAAAAAGTTTGTCAACCAATGAAAACAAAAAAATGAAATGGTAAATCTCTCTTTTAACAGATGTTTAAAAGAATACAACAACTATGAGTTTTCTTCACAGTTGAATTCACGATTCAATCTAAGCTAGACCACCACTAAAAACCTAGAAGCACTAGACGGGTGTTTAGGAGTGGATATCTATTTAAAAAATGAATTTTAAGCAGTGGATACTTATGATTCTTTAATTGACTTTCAGGCCAAGCGATAATAAAATTACAGACAAGATAATGGGTTGATGATTTAAATTTTTCAAAATTCACCTATTCCTTGATACAACAGTTCTGTTAGTGAGTACATGTTCCTACTCACATATATTTCAATATTTCAAACCATGAAACATCATTTGAGTTCATTTATCAAAGTTAACTATTATTAAACAACGTATTATTTAGTCTTGTAACTTGTTAAATTTCAATAAATGTAATACAATATGAGTTCTTATGAGTAAAACAGTTAGTAAAAGGTTTGCTTAATCTTAAGTTTATAACTCTTCAAGTGAGATAAAAGTACCATAAATCATATATCATTATTCCAAATTAATTATCAAATCTTAAACTTGAAAATTGTTGAAACGGCGGCTAACCAATATGTTGAAACGGCCGCTAACCAATATGTTGAGGCTAATGTCCTCAATATCTGACTACAATAAATAATATCCCGTAAACTGAGTATTTAAGGTAGGCTTAATCTCCTAGTAGAATTACGGATTTACTCGAGATTATTAAGAAGCCCGAACACCAGTTGTAGAGATAATTTATTGTTAATGATCAATAAAAATCCGCAAGCGTACAGCGAGCAAGCACACGATGAAACAAAGTGAGTGTGTGTGTGTGTTAAAAATCCATATATATTTTTGAGAGTTAATCGAGTGTGGATAAATTATCGATTATCTGCACATTGCAACCGATAGGAGGATAGCTTAAGGGTAATGTACAGACATGCGTTCGATCATACACATCGAAATTAACATAGTGAATTAAGAATCTGAAATACACACAGAAATTAACATGATGAATAAGTGTCTGAGCTACAATGAGTAGACAAATGATACAGTGGCCAAAGGGGCTTGCCACAAAGTTTATATTTCATTCTGAAACTTACCCATATCTGATTGACTATTAATGTTTATTTAATTAATGACAATTTATGATGACAACTACTATTATATTAATATAAGTCCAAGAAACAATCAATAACCTACTCCATATGTCTTTGTGTAGTTACTATCCAAACGATATGGAATTAAAATTTCAAAAAATAATTGGATATATATAATTAGAAATAATACTTTTCATTACTTACCCAAGAATAAAGAATAATTATTAATCCAATTATTAATGGAACTAAAATAATACCAATAGAATAACGAACAATTTGTACTGCAACTGTAAGTAATAATGCACCAATAATAAATGCACATTGTGTATATTTCATAGGTATTGCAGCTATTGTTAATGTACTTATCCAAATTGAGAAAATTCCACCAAAAAAATCACAAAATGATAATGTATCCACTGGTAATACACATATTGATGAGGTAAATTGTGAATAAATAAATGATTTACTACTACTACTGCTGCTAATTGGAATATTCATTTTAAATGCAATATTTGTAGATTGATAAAGCATACTACTACCATAATTCGGTGTATGCATAACATTGTAACCTGGTATTAGATTAGAATCTGTATCACAAATATGATAAAGCTATACAATAAGAACAAAAAGGAATTTTAGCGATAAAAATAGACAAAAAGCATCACATAAGAAATGTTTATATCTTCACTGTATACAACTTTACTAATAAGCGGTAGAGATAAAAAGTGAGAAAAAGCATCACTTTAAAAACCATACCATCGAGTAGTGAAGTTATATGAATAAATAGACAACAATGTGGGACTCCTCAACTATGCACATTCATTGTGGTGTGTGCCACTGATGTAGACAGATATAAGTAGTATGTATCATCAACTGAAAGTGAAGTGTCTGGACGCAGAAGGTTAAGAAGATCGAAGAGAAGAGAACGAGAATACAGAGTGATTGGTGTGGAAACGAGGAAACAGTCAAGTCTGAGACAATTGATTGACATTTCGCAAATGATATATATATATATATATATATATATATATATATATATTGAAACAAAAAGCATTCAGTCATAATCTATTAATACTACGCAATTATCAATTGATAATCAAAGTTCCATGAACACTGAATTAAAAACGGGGAAAAACCAAACAAATAAATGTGTATTATTTGCCCACGACACAGAATCCTGGTGGGTCGCCTATCCTCCTTATCGAGGGGTAACAGACTTAAGTAAGTAAGTATATACATTAATAACTACTATAGTAATGTTAATTCCATTTGACCAATGAGAGTAGTAACAATAAGATTAACATAGAGAATGCTGTATCAAAGCTGAATACTATAAGTCTCATTAGTTGACAGAGTTACATTCACTGAAAACAGATAGCTGCTAATGGCAATGTTAGGTAAGGTTTACTGTTTAGTCAAAAATCTATAGAATTAGAAATCTATCAATTCATCATTTAAACTACAATAACTTAGTATCGAACGAAGTATATATCTCAGTCAGTGAGTATTTAGGCTAGTTCTTAAGTGAATAATATCTCTAGGTGTGAAATGATGAATCATTTCACAGATTACTAAATTGAAAAGAAAACAATACAAATTTGAAGCCTTACTTCAATTTTAATATCTGTAAATTAAAGATTAATTATATTGATGTGTGACAAGCATATACTTTACTGAAAATTGAAACCTGATTAAGATTTGGATCATTTTTTTGTTTAAAAGTTAATTTATTGGGACCACTAACTCAAATTTTCTAAAATTCAATCCCACTAATAATTTAATTTACTTATATTTATTTTCTCGACTGAAGAGCTTGAAAACACTGACTTATTTATCGTAAAACAATTAGAAAATAATTAGCTAAGAAACACTTAGATAAGCTACAGTTTATCTAACAAAATTGCTGTATCACGAAAAAAATAAGGGAGAAGAAAAACCGAAAATGTTTAAACATGGTTAGAATTTTGATTTTGAACAATTTAGTTAAAAATTTAAAATGCAATACAGTAATTTTGCCTTGGGTTAAATATTCGACTGTGGCAGAATATATAACCTGAGAAACTGAGAGATCATTTGTAAACAACGAAAGTTGATCAATAGGAGAATTTTCTATTAATGGAATTATACAACATCCCCATTCAGAAATGTTTGAAAACTACAATATACAGAACATGAGAGTCACTGGTGTAACTTTCAATAAACCTAATCTACCAACCTAAATAATTTATGATATAATATTCTAACCAGAGACTGTCAACAGTAAGCCTAGATTCTTGGCGAAGTTAGTTTTCCATCTAAATAACCCCTGTTATTACAACCAGTAGACTATATTGCTTGTAATAAAAATCACTAAATATATTCTGTTTTAGTCAATGAAAGCTATTGCAAAACTATACCACATGAAACTTTTTGTAATTTGCTAATGGAAAACATTGCTATCGTGCACACTAATCTCAAATAACAGTATATAATCTCTTGAGAAATTTTAGTCCAACTCAAAATTTTAAATTTTAATAACAAAAAGGATAACATTTCCTTTTAAAATATATCGTTTGTGGCTAGTATTTGAATCAATGAGGCATGTTTCACTCGATTTGCAAACCGACAACTAAGTGAGTCCCTATCCCAATGCTGATGTTCACACTACAACTAGAACCAAGTAGCCTTCAAACACCAAGACTAATCAGAATTCAATCCTGAATATCAAAAACGCGATAATTCAAATCCTTTCTAAAAGCTAATCGGTTTGAGTCTTGGTGTAAACATCAACACTGTGATGTATGTACACTAGTTGACGAGTCCCAGAAAAAAAAACACTCACGTTCCGTATTTAGATGCCAGCCACAATCCATCTATTCTAAAAGCTTGTGATTACACTTGTCAGTCGTCTGACTTCAATATTTGTATATTTATAATTGACATGAATTTAAGTCGAATTTACATTTTACCTCCGACAAACAACAATACTTAATAAAATTATATATATATATATATATATATATATATATATATATATATATATATATATATATATATATATATATATATGAAGTACTAAAATTATCAACTTACTGTAGAAAAAAGAAAAGTGTATCCATAAACTAATGCCGGTATCCAAAGTCGATGAATAACAGTCAGCAGAATTGCTGGTATAAAACCGAAATTGGACAAAGCCAATATCAATGCATCATATGATAATATTTGTCGATTAGGATAGAGTCCAAAAGTTTTAAAATAATCTATAGGTAATGGCATACAACCTAGTCCACCATAACCAATAGGGCAAGCACATGTCGATACATGAATTGATCTTTGAAAAAGATTAATACATATACCTTCACCTGGTATTTTACCAATTTTTTTAACTGGAACATAAGTAAATGGACTATTATATTTAAAATGATGATTTTCTTTATTAGTATTATCTTTATTACTACCATCAGATGACCACCATGGTGGACGCCATCGTTGGCTACCATCTCTAGAACGTGATGTGTTTACCTAACATCAGAAAAAAAATGAAGGTAACAGATCTTTCTATTGATGTAAAGTATGTAAAATGATAATGCAATTAGAACGAAAAAATAAACATACTTTGTATACTAGCTTTAGAGAGATTATTAAACACTCTAAACCCGTTTTTGAGTCGATCCTAAGATTTTACCATTGAAATCTTCAAGTAACAATCTATCAAATATTTTATTCAAGAAAACTTACTTGCCTTATCACCTACCTAGTCCCGAGATGATGGCTAGTGTAGAAGTAGATTAAAAGAAAACTAGAGCGACTAAACCAAGATGTGGCATCAACCAAAGAGGCCATTGATCGTTAAACTGAGCCATGTTAGTACATAAAGACAATATAAATTCAATTGTTATTGTTTACTTGAATCTTCCAATTGATGTTTAGGACCGCAATTGATCAGTCTCTTATTAGCATATGTGCACACTGCGTATTACCTCGATATTGCCTTAATTTACAAGCATTATAAGCAAAGATAGATGGTGGCTAGTAGTGGGATCCAGGACGCGCGTTTCGTCCTATTCGGAACTCATCATCTGGGTGTACATGCATCTCAAGGTTGATGTTCACTCTGGGACTCTAACCCACTACCGACCACTTCAAACGTCATTACGTTATCCACTTAGTACTGAGAGCCTGATCAATTGCAGACCTAAACACAAATAGGAAGATTCAAGTAAACAATGCCAAATGAATTTAAACTTCATCACATTGCAGAAGCAAGTGGCTATCAGGACTCAGTAGCTAAGTGGATAACACGATGACGCCTGAAGCGAACGGTGCTGGGTTCGAGTCCCAGAGTGAACATCAACTCTGAGATGCATGTGAAACCAGCTAACAGGTTTCGAATAGAACGAAACGCGCGTCTTGGATCCCACTGCTAGCCGCTATCCATCTTTGCCTACAGACAACACAGTTAAGATAAGCGTGGTTATCGTAACCAGCGTGATATGATGGAAAGAAAAGTCGATTTTCGATTGATTTACTCATTATGAGTTTTACTCAAGATTATTTCCGTTTTGATCCAATGTAAAGATGACTCAATGTAGTATTTGTTTTCTTTTCTCGTATGATATTTTATTCTGTATAATATGCGATATCCTTTTATTCCATTGACATGAACTATGCTCAGTCTGTGATTTGTTATGTCTCTTAGTATTTTTTATATATATATGATTTCATCCTAATTATTAATCAAAATAGATGTACAATCAATATATAAATGAGTGTATTTTCTATCAGAGTCGTCGTCCTCGTGTTTTGGGTTAATAAATCATCATTTATACCAGTCTTGTGTTCTTACTTTCGCGTCGTGGGAATTTCAGAGGTCCCTCGTTCCGAGTATAAGTGATAAGCGTTTCCGACATAACAATCAGAGACGACCAGATTTCAAAAAGTAGCATTAAAAGAGCCAAGACAAGAAGCATTCAAACGACAAGTTATAACACAGTTCTAGGATGCTTTATGTGAAATGGCTCAAAATCAGTCGCAATGGCGCGTATACATTTAATCTTTCTATTCTTATAACGTGAATTTCACAAGTATCCTGGATGTGAACAGAGAATCAAGTAGCCTTGACAAACTACGGAATCTATCTTTTGGGGACATTATTCCGTTTAATTCAAAGCTTGTAAAACAGTAACATTTACTTTTTCCCCCAGTCTATTCTACAGATCATAAGCTTTCGTTTGATGCATGATTCACTGCAATAGCCTTTTCTGTTCCAAATCTATTGTAATTTAAACATCATCCTTTGTGCTCTATTTTTTACTCAGAACCCCAGTTTTGAACGTGACTGTATCTTCCTAACTGTTGTGCGTTGTGGCCTGGTTAGTCATGTACCTTTTTACACTAATCTGGATCGGGAATCAGATCGAAATTGGAAATAGGTTGAGTAGTGTTCCAATTGACGTGTCTTCTCTCTCTCGTGACTGTCAACCAATTGGATGATAGAATAGTTTTCGTCTCACTTCGAGCTCACTCATACTAACCTCAAGGTTAGGCCAATCAACCTATCACATCAACGTCTTAATCTAGATTTAGATACAGAAGCAGTTAGGCAAATCAAGGGCGTAACAATTTTTACTCCATCAATCAGTATATTTTTATCGATTCATATTAAAAATCCCTGTTCAGTACTTCTACGTCTGGTGCTGTTAATACTCCTACTCCTCTGGTATGTGGTTTGGCAATGTAAACCGATGCATATATATGCTTGATCATATATTCCGTACGACTGGTTGGCTGTTCAATCAAAGGTGGAGACGTTAAACCTGTAAAAACAAGCTCAAACCATAAATACGCAATTTGGCATTGCAGGAAGGTGTTAGATGTAGGATAACCTGATGTGTAGGTCTATGCATTTTGAATCAATGACAGTATGTTTTCTTAAAAGATCCCACTAGTAAGTGAAATTTCTGTGTAAATTCAAAAACATCATTGCGTAATTATTTGGTTTAACATATCGTCAGTAAACTTATTAGATTAAGTATAAGTACAGAGAGAGCAATAACATTTTGAAAATAAGTTTAACGTCGTGTTAAAAAAAATAATAAAAAGAAACATTTTCTTCTCCTCAACTTACAAGCAAAAACATTTCTCAGTGTTTGATGTGTCAGTGATAGGAATTCATGATTGGTTAGTAAACGAAGACATATCCAGCTATACTAAATGAGACACTATAATATTGTGAACTCCTTCCCGCTACTGATTACACAAGCTAATTGTTCGAAATCCCAGTGTAGATTATCTGGTTCTCAATCATTGGCCGCAATTATGTATCTATGTATCGTGTGATCTAATATAGTGACCTAACCATCGGGTGTCGTGATAGAGTGCGCTCAGTCAATTATCTACTGTATGATCGTATCATAGTTTAATAGCATAACTTACACTTCTTTATTAGAAGGGAATGGTGAAGAAACATTAATCGAGGTAAGCTTATATGAAAAAGATTACGATGTTATTAAATTTTCAGAGTGAATCATATGGGAAAGTCCAGAATACAAGTGAATCAAACTTCAATGCTATGAATATCTTGAAGTATAATTTTACATTTTTACATATATTTATTCTACATAAAGACTTGTTACTTATTTAACTCAAAAGTAAGTCTAAAGCAGGACGGTTTTAACTCTCAACCGAGTCAAAAATTTTCGCAAGTATTTCAAATAATTCAGTTGAGAAGGTCAGATAGCTGATAATTTTCATGACTAATGAAGTGGACATCAAACGCTAAGCCAACAATTTATACGAACCGAATGCGACTGAACACTCCACAGACAATCAGACTTCAACCGTTTGTAACACACTAGTAAAATATGAATAAAACGACTGGTCTTCTTCAAAATTTTTTCTACTATCTCTATAAAAAGCGATATTACTTTACGACTAGTCTGTGTATGTAGTTTGAAAATAACATCGGAAATAATACGATGAATTAACTTATTGGATCATAAAGTTACCGATTAGCGAAAAATAAAACGACGGCGTACATATTCTAAGCTCATTGAGAAATTTTGGAATGTAAAAAAATATAAAAAATCATATGGTCAAGTCAAAACAGAAAAGAATTTTTTAAAAATATTTCGAGCCAGCAGTAGGTATCTTTGGCTTTTACAGACAAAATAAGTGTGACTTATACAACTGACTATATGAATCCCTACTAAATTTCTTAGTTGTTATTCTTACGATATTATTATGTACTCTGAGTAATTACTCTGGAAAGAAATTATGAAATTAAATAATTCTGAATACTATTTAAAGTGTGTACATATTAGAAGATTATAGTCTGTTATTTTTTGTTGTTAATTGAAAGTAGTAGATTTCGGATTGATAAAAATCTTAATTACACATTGCACATAAAGGAAATAAATAAATTATCACTATTTTGCAATTTTACACAAACGAAACAATTATGAGAATGACGATTATTTCGATTTTCAAACTTCTTAGTGTAACGAAAAACCAGTGAGGAAAAAAACAAGAAAATATTGATATTGATCAGTGAAATTATTCAAAGAAATAAATCGATATAAAAAAAGCTTACTATTAATTCATTCGGATATAGGAGGCGAGATGGAGCTATTGTAGCTCCTTCACCGATCTGTCGACAGTGATTATTTATGCACGGAGTTGAACGTATTATTAGTGAAACATCAATTACTGCTGACTGATCCAATCCACAAAGTGCACTTGGTTTTTCAAAAAAAAAAAACAGAGGACAACACAAATATGTTGGGTAGTAGTGGTAGTAGAACAAGGAGTATGTATTATACGTTTATTACTGAACCTATATAACCAAATCAGTCGTTATAATGATCATTTCTTATTTTTAACTAAACGGAAAACTATTACAAGTAATTTTACGACATATCTTCATAAAAGATAGTGTTTTGTTAAACGATAATTGGAAAACCAGTGAATACTAAGGACATCTCTACTCTATTCTCTTTTCTATCAATAGCACTATGCAACAGTAATTATTATTAAGTGGTTGGAAGTACTCAACATGAGATCTTAGACCTAGTTTCTTGTTATTTTGCACTTGCTAGTATGGGATACTAGTTATCTTGACCAGTGACAAATAGCGCAAAATATAAGTTCAGGGACCCCTGTCGATTAACTTCGACTACCTAAAATGTCAAAACAGTACAAGAGATATCTAGACACTTAGACTAGTGGCCAAATGTGATCAGCACTAAAGGACTAGATAAATAAGAAATTCGTGACTATTCAGTGATCAATCAATTATAAATAGCAACTACTCAAAAAAGCGACATGACAACCAGGTAAGTCATTGAGTTATTTGATTTAAAGTTAAACAACCCAAAGCAATACAAGTGTAGGTTAAGATTTAAGTCCATACATTGAAGAAAAAACAGTATTCCTACAGATATGTAGTATGGAGAGAAATAGAGTGAGGACAGAAAAAAGTGAGGCATAAGACAGAAGAAATTCATTGCACGAAAACAGAGTCTGCATATAATGTGTCTTCATAACAGTGTAGTGTGTATTTATAACATACAACTCTTTTTCCCCGCTTATTCTCAGTTTCTCTACACGCTAAGATAGCAATAAACTCAATTGTTTCAGGATATATAAACATAGAGAGACAGACACATACATATGTACATATGATGTATAGTCATATATATTGATTACAGGGAACAGAATAACGGAACACATGCATGCGAACAGACGTACATCACAACATTGAACAAAGGACCGTGTGAATAAAAAGAGAAAAAAGATACGTGTACACAAAAGACATGAAACAGAACAGTTGTTTTTAATGCATACAGAACAGATGAAAAAGAAGATACCAGCTCTATAACACAGCTTAAAGAAAAAATCCTAACTATGTAAATAACTTATTATTATGATTATCTCACTGTTGAATTGCAAGATTTAATGGATCTATGGATAATTTCCATTTCCTAAATGATATTCAATTAAGAAGTCATTGAGTTCAATCGCGTCAGTTGTGAAGTTACCCGATGAGGACAATCGAAGTTGACCACGTAGTATCCCAGAATAATCGATATTAGACCTGTATACTATTAGATCTTAAATCAATGTTCTAGAAATTAAGCACTCATTCGCGATACCGAAGGTCCTATATTCTATTCTTGGTTCCTGAGTCTTGGGTGCTTACTTCTGAGGAAACACATACTAGGATAAAGTGAATGTTCATCGCTTTCATGTTTTCATTGATTGTTTAGTTTAGATACGCTCGTTTTTCCAGAAAAAAATTTGTAGCAGCATACCTGTACAGATTTAAATAGTTATGTTTAATATGACTATTTTAGAATCCAACATTTTAAGGTTACAAAGAAAACATGAAGGAATCCAAGAAGAAAAATATGACACATATTTATTTTATTTAAACAAATAGACATTGGTACGAAGAGGCACCAAATATACATGCACCACACTTCGCCATTCAATGCAGATGAAAACTGGAATACTGTCCAGGAGCCCAAAATGAGGCAGATAATTTTCTTAGTAGCCGCTTCCCTGAGCCTTCGACCTGGAGGTCTAATCCACAAGTCAGTGGAGCAATGTTAGGAGGTGCAGTCCCATGGTAGATAGTGTCCATTTGTCCCTGCAGGATTCCGGAGCCCATGTGCACCGTTGGTTTGGAATCGGGGTCTTACAACTCCTCTACTTGGATCCTCCATACCCACCTACCCGGTCTAAGAGCCATACATTCGCTTATATCCTCTCGATTTCGTAAGTAACACCGCTGCGAGGAAGCGGTGAGTAGGAATTCTTCGGCAGTGACCGTATACACGTGGTTCAATGACAACTAAAACCCAATATTCTCAGTTTTATGTTAAGAAAGATATCAGCAATTATTATAGAGTACTACAAAACATTAAAAAGAATAAATAATATTAAAAGATTCTAAATGGATATATTATACATTTATTGGACATTCATATCAGGTACATCTGATATTTATTAGTTATATTAATATTATATATCTGTGGATAATATAAAATCAGTGTAAAATTACACACTTATGCGGTAAACATTCCTAAATTACTGAGTTTATTTCAATAATACTTCTCCGATTTGAGGAACTGAATAATTTATTCACTACACTTCTACGGACAATAATTGTAATAGTGTAGAAAGTAAATTATATTATTAAAATTGTATGGTGACTTTCGTAACCAATGGTTGGAGACTCTTGGTGACATGGCTCAGAATCGATCACAATGGCGTCGGTGTATACACTCTTTGTCTTCCCTTAAACTAAGAGATTAAAATCACTTCATATCTTTCTTTCTACGAACTAGTTCTTCCTTCCTATACTATATCCTTATTGCAACCTTTGACCTAACCACTCCTATGAATCCGGTGTTCATCTTGTTGTGCTAATGAGGTATGGCAACCTGGACCGATGCACATATGTGCCTGGTCCTACGTTGTAGCTGACTGACTGACTGACTGATAGTGTATTCATTGTTGGATGTGATGATTCACACCACTCTCCCCTCCCTTGGTGCGATAAGAAGTGTCCAATTGAAATTTCCCTTCATCTAATGAAACAAAAATATCTAAATAATAATAAGTGTCGACAGCTTCACTCTGTCATCTTAGGCCTTCTAACTCATACAACAACGCACGTAGAAGTCATGAACACAGAGGATATAAAGAAGAGTGGAGAATCTCTAGAAGCTTGGCACTCAGATCAATCAGCAATCAATAAACATATAGAAACCGACCCAATTTATCAACTAATTAGAAAACTCATGGACAAATGTAAGATCAAGAATCAGGTCAAAGGGTGAGACAGTCGAAAGGAATGTGCAGACAACGACGGGTCAATAACAACCAACCAAGATTAAGATGGAAAAGACAAGTCGCCAGTCATATGTGAGAGAATTCTAACACCCTACTTCTGAGTTGTTAGCTAATGTGGCCTAGAGACAAGGAAAACCAAAGGTAGAGGATATAGCACACCTATTTTCAACGCTCCATCGATTAAGTGGCTTAAACAACCTGAAAAGTTACACTTAAATTCAATACTGTTCATTCAGTTGTCCATATAAGTACAAACAACTTAACAAGTGCATCAGTGATCAAATTTTGAGTGTAATGAACATAGTCCTTAGAGTAATAGAATGAAAAGGAACTACAAGGTTTTATGCTTGATGCTAATGAGATAGGGTATATATTTTTACTACTATACAATTCTAATAAGACCACTAAAATGATTATTATCAAAGAAATAATCAACACAAATAAAACGAGAAACTTTTGTAAACACAATAGCCAGAACGATCATGAAAATATGCACAAATATGTAGGTAATAATGAGAAAATGATTAGTCTTCTACAAAGAGAACAATATATTGTTGCATCTGATTTTAAAGTATGTAACCATTCGTAATAGAAATAAATAGAAGTTTCAAATTAGGTGTAGTATAAAAAGATCCAATTGGCTGTTTAAAAACTGAACAGATTATTATTTACTTCAGTAGATCAAAAGTTTGATAACACAGTTGTACAAATGGAGTGTGACAAGGTTTAGATAATTCGAGAACAATACAATCAAGTCAGAAAAAAGAGGAGAGGAAAACTTGTTTGCAAAAAGAGTATTCAACTATTAATGTACGCTGCATAGTAACATAATGCTCTCTTAAACTGATAGATTAACAATAAGAGTAAGATTTCAAAGTAAAAACACAGTCCCAGATACTTTGAATCACAGTATACATTGTTATCTAACAATTCAGTTACCAATAAATATATAGGAAAACGAATGGTAAATTTTTTTTGGAAATTCGAAAAGTTTTCACAAAACTTTTATATTAAGATAGAAAGAGGTATGTAGATATACTCGGTAAAAAAATAAGTTACTAAAGGTCATTATTTTAAATTCATCATTTAACATACATCGAGTCTCGGAGTGAACATCATCTCTGGGATCGAGGTATAGCCAGCTGATGTGTAAAAATGGAACGAAATGTGCAGTCTAGATTTCACTGCCAGCCACTATCCATCTCTGATTATAATTCTTATGGCTTAAGGTAATATCGTGGTAATCAGCACACGATGCATGTATACCAATAAGAAACTGACCAATTGCAGTCCTAAACATCAATAAGAAGATTCAAACAACCAAATACAAGATGAATTATGTCGAATTTCTGACTCAAAGTTCATTATTTATTGCATAGTGAAGTTACTTACAGTTGATGAGAAGTTTTAATATAAAACGAATTTATTCTCTGAGAACTATGGTGTTTACAATTAATTTATAATTAATATAAGTAGTCAGATTTATTCAGTTTTTCACGTGAAACAAACAAAAAAATTTTACTTTTACTTCTGGTACAATATGTTGACAAAACTACAGAATAACTTTAGATGTTGCGAAAGAATGATCTAATTTTTCCATCGATAATTCCAAATAAAAATATACGTTTATTACTCGAAATAATCAACATTTATAATCACGAAAGAAAACCAAATTACTTACTCATATTCTGTGTAACATTCAGGATATAAACTAAGATACCAGCGTCCAGGTGTTGGATAAGGAAAAAATAAAAAACTTCGATCTACACCTTCATTGAAAGAAGTATCAAGATTGGGCGGTCGTTCACTTCGACGTGGTGATTGACTAGAAGCGAAAACTTTCGAAGCAGCAGATGAAATAGCATGAGCTACAGATACCGCTAAACCATGATCTGTAGCTAAACGAATCCATAAAGGACATTGACGAATATCTGTGAAACCTTTTGGTGTATTAGTTAAATGTCTAGCAAAACAACCATGTAGAATAATTTGACGTGGTAAAGGCTGAGTAATAAGAAAAAAATTGAACAGATTTTATTATTATTTTTAATAACTTATTGTGACTAAATACATTTTAAAAAATATTATCCAATATTAAATGCAGTTTTTGACTTATTTTGTACGCATGTTTGATATAATGACAAACGAAACATCATGAAAGGAAAGTATGATACCTTCTTTGGTTTACAATATATAACTGTATTTAAACCAATTCTAGAGTTCGCTCGAATAAATAACTACATTGTAATATGCAAAATCAAATTTCCTTGTAGGGTTACACGAAAACTATGTGTTATTTGATTTTTGGTCATTGTCTAGTAAAGCAAATGTTACAAGAATGTGTAAGGTAGGATTTTCTTTTAATAAAAGTAAGATAGAACGATGAATAGAGGAAGGAGTGATTCAATCTCTAGGTAAAAATAATTTTAAATTACAATTTTTAGGCTCGGGAAGATTGACGTACTTACCACGAAAAACGCAACTATAATAACACACATACACAAAAAAAGATGGTGGATTTTGTATTATCATTAACAAAAGATTCTACTTGATAATTTAGAGTAAATAGATAAACAGAGTATTGGGTAGATTGTTTGTAATAAAAATGATACGTTTCTAACTGTTAAGTCAACAAAAAAATATTTTCTATATTATATAAGTTCCTTTTTCGGACGACAAATAAGTAATTCAAGTTAATTAAGTTTCAATACCAAGAAGTTTTTCTATGTTCAAAATTCTTTAAAAATTTGCTCAGTGAGAATCTACTTAATTCATATACAATTCAAAAATAAATCAGTCTCTTCTAGGGATTTCGAATATCATCATTTAGAGTTACCAATTCATTCACAACAATAGATTACAGTTAAGCTAGAAACTTTATTACATAACAATCAGTTAGAACTGACGAAATAAAGGCCGTTTTACTAAGTGCATAAAATATGAAACTACCAGAAAAGAGCATATTCAAGGATGTTGAGGACATCTACTATCAATAATTTACTAACAGTGAATGTATGTTATGATTCACTTGTTGATAAACTACCCATAAACCGTTAATAATTTATATGAAGGCTTTAGTTAACGATCAGTTTTCGATTTATAAACTAAAAACTAGAATTTTCTCGATTTTGTTTTTTGTTCACCTAACATCAAACTTTCAGCGAATTTACTAAGTTGCTTATCTAACCACACTGGACAATGCTCGATAAAAGCGACAATAAACTGTTCGGATTGTTTTCCCTAAGTAACTGATTCCACGGAAGTAGACTAAATTACAAAAACGCATATTAGCAGCTAAACTCGGAAGACCATTTCTTTCATGTGAGTCGGTAGTTTACAGAAAGTCATAAAAATGAGAAGCAATGTGAAATCCACTAGAATCTATGAGTTTTGTAATAGGTAGCTAAGAAAAATTGAATTGGTTCATAAAACTAAGATATTTTACGAAAACTTGTTTGAATTACGTGGAGAACTGATTCAAAATCCAGAATCTGATAATAATAGTTAGAATGGAATACCATTCCCGTGCTATACATGAAACGAAATTCAGTTAATCCATGTGAATACGAAGATCATAAAGACTTTTGTGGAGATATAACAATTTGCACACAAGTGATTAGTAACTAAGATTTAATTAGGTGTGTATAACAGACAATCAAGTTTGTCCGTTTTGATTAAAATAAAAAGCAAATGACATACGAATTGAAATGTAATCATATAAATAGAAAATCATGTTTGGAGTGATCCTTCAATTAAAGTAGTTGTTCGATAAATTACTACTATTTCGCTATGAATAACTTTGAATGCTTTCATGACTGCATGACATTAATTAAAACCAATATAAAAGAAATATACTTTCGTTCTTTATAAAGAAGACCAGGTTGACTAAATTTTAAAGGCTAACAACAAGAGATAAATTATTCTGTTATGGTTCAAGAATTTTCTAAAATAGTAAAATGATTCACTCGGCCTAAAGCAACCATATACAAATTTGTGTAATACAAAGTCAGAGAAAACAAATGGTTCGAACAGCATTTTGTTATCAGATTACAGAGCAATCCAGATAGAATGCTTTGTTCTGCTGTAGATTTCATCACCGAAAAAATACCAAAAAGTGAATGAAAAACATTCCCTCAAGTATTTTCAAAAGAATTCATTTGTTATGTTACACAGTTATTATTATATGGTGTTTTACATTCATTTCCAATATCAGGAACAATGCTACATAGAAAATAAAAGAAAATCCATTAGCAGAAAATCTATCAGAAATTAATCAATCTAACAATTAATATCATTAATTAAAGCCGAACGGTATCGACTAAATGACAGGAAGTTGTTCAGTTTTAGGAAGCAAACTGATGGATCTTGAATTGATAAGAGATACATTAGGACAATATTGATTTATTGTTACTTTTTAAAAATAATTAGTGTGGAGAGAGAAGTAACAACAATAATATTAGCTAATAATAATAATAATAATAATAATAATAATAATAAAATTTCCAAAAGTTGACGCACCGAATTTGTCTAAAACTTTCGGTACATCACCATGTGATAGACAGACATGATAACAACGAATTCTTTGAATAAGAATAATTATAAATTGGAAAATAGCTGACATGAATTGGACTCCATTGGTCATGATTTCACATTAGAAATCCAGGAGTTTCACCTTGAAGTTAGTCACTGGTGAGCACATGACTATTAACAGTATGGGAATTTGTGAAGATTGCAGCATTTTCACAGTTGAATTCACGAGTAGATCTAAGCTAGACTACCATTGAAAACCTGGAAGCGCTGGACAGTCATTTATTCCTAGTATGGGACTCCTGAGCAGCGCGCATCCACGATACCGCACGCGAGAGTCGAACCCAGGAACTTCGGTCTCGCGCGCGAATGCTCAACCTCTAGACAACTGAGCAGACATCCAACGGTGTTAATGTCTGGCTCTCACTTGTTGGTAGAAGGTGAATCGACAATACAAAATATATATTAGAATGAACAAGATGTTTATAAAAAAGACAAAGGTAGAAAAACGTAATTCATTTTAAGCTGTGTTATCTAGTGTATTTGATTATTTCTGTTTAACTCGAGACATACCTATTCAAGAGGCATATACAATCTCAACTTGCGATAAATATCTTCATACATATTACTGTCAAACTTCAGTATGCCTACACGTTTGGAGTTTTGGATAAAATCTATCTGTAAAAATCAATCTTGAATGTTTTTGTGAGTTATATAAGCGGCTTGAGTTGATGTTATCAGTCAGTTTGTCTACTCATTAAGTCAAAATTATTGAGTTGGTAGCCACACAATAGTTAAGTAGTGACTAAACTGAACCTATGATTGAATATTTGCAATTTTTGTATTATCGAGTTCTAAAGATTATTTCCCATTGTCGTATAAAAACACCACATACAAAGCTCTACTTAATAATTCGAACACTTTACCTGCAATCTTGATGGTAGTAGTATACGAAAATTAACATTCTATTCGAATTCAACTTAAAATTCAGATTATGGAAACTGACACATTTTCACAAATAGGTGAGGCGAACAAACAGACATAACTACTACGCTTTACTCAAACAACTCCACTCGGCAACAACTCAGGAAATTTTCCAAAAGTCAGGTAAAATGCCGAACATACTTCAAACAATCAGCGCTCTTTGGAAAATTCCAAGAGAAATCTAGAAAACGTCGAACTAGATTTTCTCATTTTTGATCAGATAATTACCGAACGATAATAATTTTAGCATCTTTCTACGAAGCTTCTAAAATTTTAATATCACTCGTAGAAAGCTGAGGTAATTTGGATCATAGGCTATTAGCAGTTAGGAAACAATCAGGGAGCACTGGATAGCTATTTCCTCCTAATTTTGGGACTTCTCACATCGCGCAACCACGACTCTATCAGGAGCGAAACCCGAAACTTTCAGGTCTAGCAGCTAATGTTTTATACCACCAGGTTGGCATCCAACAGTCAACATTTTCAATTTCGAAATGTACAAAATTTTCAGAGAAACACCTTATAAAACTAAGTTAAAGTAGCATAGTATTCGCTAGCAGTGAGCACCCATGATACCACAGGACATTCGTCCCTCTGCGCGAATAAAATATCATGGATTGATTGGAGTTAGACTTGTACACCATTGAATACCGGGTCAGCGGCATTCGTCTGAGCGAACAAAAGTCTTGGGTTCATCTCCAGGTTATAGGATCAAGGATGCGCATTGCTGAGGAGCCTTATACCAGGACGAAACGATCATCCAGTGCTTCCAGTTTCTTAATGGTAGTTTAGCTTAGACTGGCCTCAATAAAATTCAACAATCTCCAAAACCCCTAGCTGTTCGATTTCCTATGGCTTTTGATAATCCTACAGATGGTGGTGATTCACGATGAAAATCATTCACAAAATACTTGGTGATTTGAACAGATTCTAATATCTTGATCAAAGTATCAAAGATGGGACAATAATTATGGAAGCTAATAAGCGTATAAAAAGGCCAATGTTAATAGAAACATTACATTATTAATTTTCACATTTGATAAAATAATGTGTCTGTGTATTCATTGAAGTGCTAATAAATGCAGATGACTTACAGTTAGTATAAAACAGAATTAAAAAGAAAGATGATGATAAAAATGATAGCGGTGACAAATAATGAGACAAAAATATGTTATGCAATTGAGTGATTGCATAGAGTTTAAGAGGTAATAATTAAGTTTAACAATCTTGTATGCTGGTTATTACAAGATATCATGAATTTCGATATGGTGAAGAAGGATTTACATGGTTTGAGTGTCAGTGACCTAAGAAATTGATTTCTTTTCGCAAATGTTCATAACATATCGAAGAGTAATTATATTGGTCATATCTGTTGGCTGATTATAGACGGTTAATTTCATAATACTGTAAATATATGTTAATACAGTTACTGATTAATCAATATCAAGTATGACTCAGTTTAGTTTATACGAATCTGACTATTCATCGTTGTTAACAAAACAGAAAAATCAGTATGTTTTAGACCAAATTTTAATTTAAGTGTCAAATAAATCCTTATCTATCCTCTTCGTGCTCTACCTTGCATTGCGTGATCCACAAGTTCGAATAGTTAGTAACAGATGTCCGTTGACGCGTTTTTTGAGGGTCAATAAAGATTTCCATTTTCACCAGTTTTGTCACCTTATTTGCTTAGCGTAAATCACACGATCCGTTGTTCAAAATCAGTGGTTTTTTGGTTTCAAGTATTACAACAAATTGCTATGCATGTAGAGTCTGAAAATGCGACCGAAAATGATTAATCAATCTTATAGATATATATATATTAAATACTAAGAACATAAGTCATGCACACTGAAGAATGATCCAAATACTTAACAAAAGTAAAGATAATTTTTTATTATCTAAGCAACTCACTATTACATAAACAAATAGAGTCGGTATTGCGAAACATAATAGATTTTGAAAAAAAATGTAACTAGATGATTGAGGTACACAACTTTCAATCATTTAACTACAAGTTCTAAACCCATATTGCTTAAGTCGGTTTGAACAACTGAGCAATATCACTAGTTGTTATTCAGAACATACAGCTTAAAACTCAATACATTGATCTTTAGCTGTTTAATGAGCTGGATTACTTTTCCATCTTGTCAAGATGTAAATTTAGCGAGTTATAAAACATGTAATGACTTGATTAGTTGTACGGTTTGCCGATTTTCTCAAGTGTCCATAGGAAATACTTGATAAAAAATTTCAAATCAAATAGTCAGAAAAATAGCACGATATAAGTATTACGGGCACTATTCGACCTATTATGAACTGTAAAAGTAAACGAAATACCGATGACTAGTTATTGATATTCAAAAGCTAATAAGCATTCTACAAATTCAAAATTGATAATCACAATGGGAGCAATCATTTAAATCATAGTTAGAGAGTGATTATAAACAAAGGTTATTACCCAATAGATAATTTAAAGCATTCTCAATCAGACATAAGAAAATTTTAATTTAAAACTTGACCTTAGAAAGGAATTATTAAAACATATTCATTCTTTATCGATTGAGACCTAGAAGTTTATTCGAAATTCTAAACGAATATATATTTATATATCTCATATGAGAAAAGAGGAAGTCTTGGAAACAATATAAATACGGACTAATAATAATAATAATAATAATAATAATAATAATAATAATAATAATAATCGAAACACTGAATACGGAAACAATGAATATAACAATCGAATACCACTGAAAAATTCCCATTCTATTGAAACACAATTGATATGATCAAAGAATATTCTTTTCAATAATTTCTCATCAGATTCTACAATTATCTCATATCCAAATTAATAATCCATAAAATTGGCCACATTTAAGTCAGAGTATATCATTTAAAGTTGTAACATGTGAATCAAGAATTGTTGTTTGTCATATAAATGAAATTACTATAATATCCACAAGAAACGCCTTTTGATAAAATAAAATCATTAATGTTGGGGTTGACTAATATGAAGTGTTAACTTGAATCAGTTTATAAGTGAAATGAAATTGTGAGATTAGAATAAATATGGTCAACATTGGATGAGAGAGAGAATAATGTAATCAGAAATTAGAAATTACGTAATATGTATAGTGATATGAATTAGGTCAGATTTATTAGAAAGGGGTGGATGTTGAATAAACGTTATTTTATATGACAAGCAATTCTTCATTCATATGATACAGTTTTAAATGATGTACTCTGACTTAAATGTGGCCAATTTTATGGATTATTAATTTGGATATGAGATAATTGTAGAACCTGATGAGAAATTATTGAAAAGAATATTCTTCGATCATATCAATTGTGTTTCAATTGAATATCATCTATGTTTGTCAAATAAGAATAGTTCGTTTTTTTATATTGTTGACTTATCCGTAAGAATTAACTTGTATTTTTGAAGAAAAATTCACTAACTAATTAGTTAAAATGATTAAAAATATAGTTGTTTATTCAATAACAATGATATCAGATAAGTATCAGAAGGGGTTTTGTGGAGATTGTGGTAATTTCAACAGTTGAGATCATGAGTCAATTGAAGATAGACCACCATGGATAAATATATGTAATAGTAATCAGTAGAAAGAGATTGAGGTTGAAATTTTAGAATGATATTTGAAGACTCTTCTTTTATATTTTGGTTGCAACAAAGTTCAAAACTCACTGAATTACGAAGAATCATTTTGTATTGAATAAGTATTAGTTGTTGATTGTTCTTATAAATAGATAGATGAATAAATTCTTAATTTCAGCATTAACCTTATTGTATATAACATCTCAAGTGATATTATGGCATTTAAAGATGAAGACCACTTTTGTAAAAGGAATTATTATTTTGAGGTAAGTGGAAAGGATTTTAAGTAGCAATTAAATACCTGGTAGATGAATTCTTTAATCAAAGAAGACATTCCGTAACAATGAGGACAGGTAATGATAAGCATAGTTTAACGAAAGTAAGTTATCGAACTTAATCCATTCCCTGTTTAACGAGCTTGCGTTAGCCATGATAGTCACCTAGTTTTTGAGTAGGTCTAGAAAATAGTTGAATGACATTAAAAATAACTAAAGCAATGAATTTGACCATTTTTCAAAGTCACAATATAATGCATAGAAGTTCACTGTATGTTTTATGTATGAAGCATGATTGTACAGAATGAATACGACGAAACGGTTAAAAGTATCCAACAAGAGAAGACTCGAAAACATTGTTTCAGTAAAACAACGTCAATAAATGAGTAATGTTAGAAGTATGGGTAGACTTTTAATTAAGAAAATGTCCATCAGTGAGGTTATGAATGTGAATCAAATAAGGTAACGCTTTTTACAAGCCTCACTGACTATCCCAGTAAACATATGCAACGATAAAATAATGTGACATCTCATCTCTAAAATCAATATGTACATATTTAATCTTTTAAGGAAACTGTCATTATTCGAGAGTACAATAAAATGGATGTTAACTTTTTTCGACGCGCTTATTTACTTTATGGTCCACTTCCGATCTGTCACTAATGATAAACCAAGTTCGTAACATTATACAAATGATTTCGTTACAATATTATTTCTCTGTCTTCTAAGTAGTTTTCGCTATTCTTCATACTTCAACACGCGATTTTAACATGCAATTATTTTATGTAAATAATTTGTTTTTGTTCACGCTTCACAAACCATTTTTTTGCATTAAGTTATTTCAAAATGTCAATTTGTTACTTTATTGAACATCCTTAGGATTGTGTTCAGATATCCTTCAAGATAACTAACGAGTGATTGTTGAGTTTTTATTGAGATCATGAATTGATCTATGGTGGTCTAATAGTGATCGGTTCATACTGTAAAATATTCAGAGATCATGTACTCACTTGGTTTTATAGTGGAAACCTGGAGTCATATGTGTATATCGAATGAACAAAACATGATTAGATCCGTTTTTCCAATAGGCAAGCCGACAAACATATTACTGGTTTCTTAAATATTACTGGTTGAAACAACTCTTTCGCCAAACCTTTAAAACTACTAGTCATAATTTAATAGAAAACATCCATTTAGTTAACAGTTTATAATCATTGCATATTTTTGTGTATTGGGGTACTTACTATTGCAGATAAATGCTTTGAACTATACCTTTTTTCAGGATGATTTATAAGCACTTTTTGTGTCATAAACACATTATTATTACATGGATTGCGAAGTTTCAGAAAATAAATTATTTGCGCAAAGATTTATTTATTGAACAGTTTGGTAACCATAATCAAAAAGATAAAAGGAATTTTCATCCCGAACAGACGTCAGCTAAAGTATCGTCACTTGAAATTAGTGAGTGCCCACTGCTGAAGAATACAAAATTAGGGCAATACGAAAAATCTAGTGTCTTTTAAGTTTCAACAAGTATCCCACCGACGTCAGTTTGTATAAAATCAAAGAATCAACGGAGTGACTAGTAAAATTATAATAATGTCACACTCAAATATTTAACTAACAAGCTACCATTATTTCTTACCTCTCTGTATGTTTCATTGAATTGCCAAGAAACATTTAATGCATTAAGTTGTAAAGCAATCTCAAGAACACTTGACATATCCATTACTGAATTTAATGTTATCGGTATGACTACAATATGCCATGGTTTTAAATGAAGTAGACTGGCGTATCGACCAAAATCAGGCTGTAAAACAAATCCATACAAATATGTAGGAGAAGATAACAGAGAGTAAAGCTGTGTTAAACTATAAATGTACATGATTCTATTAAAGACAATTGTATAAACTGATGTTGGAATAAAAGTATATTTTAAAGTTTGTGATAATTTATTCATAAAAAAAATAAATCTAGTAAAATGAGACGGTATACAAGAATTTACATCAGAAGTTTACTGACTACATTTTCCATTTGAATAATCATAAGGTATGATATTTCATGAAAAAATTTATTGAAACTCATTTCAAATGTATTTGCTGAAAAGCGTTGTGTCAGTATATCAATCGTAACAATAGGACATGGTGGAATTGTTCAACGGTCCAAGTTGCAACATTTCACATCAAAATACTGGTAGTAAATAAATAAGATACATAAAACAAAGTAGTCGAAACATTGGTGGTATCTGTTGTGATAAAAATTAAATTTACAGAATTTTGATCTAAAAGTGAAGATTTATTTGAAAAGTGAAAGTGAACTCAAGATTTAGGAAAAGACAAATTCCGGGCCATTCCACCCACGGTTTCCAACTACAGATTGTGATCGTGAAGCGTATGTATGTATCTACTAATGAAGATCAGTAAAGAATAACACCTCTGTGTAGGTGATGGTCGGAGATGTATAACTCATGTCCAAGTCATTTAAGCTAATGGAAGTTTACGGCCTCCTTAATCTATTTCCATTCTATACTTGATCACTCCATGTATAATTTCAAAATTACTCACTTGACCGTTACCATTATAGTCGAGAAATGGTCTCGAAGTGCAGCTTATGGATATTTTTTTTCTATAGATAGACCGACACAACCATATATGTACATGATTTATCAAATGATTTTCTTGGTCAATAATGTGAAAAGAATTCAATTTTAATCGTAACCAAAATGTGAACTACTTTCTTACAATCATATTTATTATTTTTTAAAAAAAAGAGTGATAAAAGTTATAAAATTATTTATACGAAAATGCCCTAAATAAAAATACTCTTCTTATTTCGATAATAGTTATTTTTAGAAGATTTAAAACAAAGCGTTTACATACAGAGAATGGTAATATATAAAAAAAAACCGAAAAAGAATATAAATTGTTACATCCCATTATTACCCACCTCTTGAAGAAAAGAATAATTGTTACATAGAGTTGAGTGTGATTTAAACAAAATTAAGTTGGGCGAAACATATATATATATATATATATATATATATATATATATATATATATATATATATATATATATATATATATATATATATATATATATATATATATATATATATAGGTGAAAGGGATAATTTTAAATGATTTTCCCAATTGAGGTGAACAACTAGCTAATGATATTGATTTAAAATAGCCCAACTTTTATCTAATAACTTTGTTCTTAGTGCCAAGAATGCTATAAATGTACATGTTGATAATGAACTACAAATACGCGTATTCGGCTTCAAGTTACGTTATTTTGGTTCACAGATGTTACTCAACTGACAAAACCAAAGTAAATATATTTATATATAGTTCGCGCAACTATATTAACCAATGGTTGGAGACTCTAGGTGACATGGCTCAGAATTGATCACAATGGCGTTGGTGTATACATTATGTGTTCTCTTCAACTGGGAGGTTAGAATTACTTTATATCATTCTTTCTACCAACACATTCTTTCTGCCTGCATCATATCTTTATATGAAATCTTTTATACATATATTACTACCGTTGAAGTAACTGTCTCTACGAATTCGGTGTTCATCTTATTGCGTTAACGGGGGTATGGTAAATTGGACCGATGCATATATGTGCCTGGTCCTACGTTGTAGATGACTGACTGGCTAGGTTTTTCATCACGAACCGACATCGGCTAAAATGCCAAAACGCTATTTAGCTAAATGGATGAATAAACTCCGCGCCAAAATCCAAGACCTGTTATCTTAGATTGGATTGGTTCGTCAACAAATTAGTCTCGCCCACACATGAAAAGTTCAAATGAGAATCATAATTATTAATCGGCTACAATACAGAACAAATATAATAAGAGTAGGCCTGAATGAATATTGAATGATATATGGACTAAAATTTTAATGATTTGATGAACGAATTTCCGATTGTTAAAAAAAAAATAAAAGAATGCTGATCGATATGATTGAGTGATTACTGTTTATGAGACTGAAATATTAATGAAGACTGTCGAAGGACTTGTGGTCAAAAATAAGATCACTAGCCAGAACCATAAGACTTCTTTCTTAATAGAATTATACGTTTATATACAATCGAACAAAAGAATAATAATAAACAAAATTACATGCATAAAGCTATGAAAGAAAATCAGCTATACAAGTCACTCTTTTAACAATCAATTAATAGCCTACAGTTAGGTTTGATATTGTACACCATATCCATTATGATAGTTTTTAATCGACTTCTAAAACAATTTATAGTTAATGCTCAATACAATTACCTGCAAGAAGTAATAATAACAATCATGGTAAAAACAATGAATGTTCTTAACCATTTTCCGTCAAAATAACTTCAGTCTGAATTTTCATAAAAACATAAACAAGTAATTACTATTATAACTTAAAAAGATATTAAACCATCATAAATAAAATATGCTTTTTACTTGATAAGCAAAATGATAAGTAAATTTCACTGGTAAATGAACACGTGTTGGAGTAGGCCATATATAACACAATGGTAAATCTTGATATCCTGGATGATTAAAATTAAATGAACCAAAATTTGATATGATCAATTGTTGTGTATTTATTGAAGAATATGTTTTTAACCACTTTTTTTCACCATATTCTGGTGTTAATTCCGGCCAATCGGAATTAATCCAAGGTAATAATGATATACTTAAGAAAAAACGATAATTTATATTATTAGTTCGATTAAAATTGATCTTATCTTTAAATGATTTATTTTCATGTTTCATTGATAAAAATTGTAATGAAATTTTTTGAGATTGTTGATGTAAATAATCATTATGATGGAAATTTCTGGAATTTTTCATTAGTGAACAACCTACATAGATGGATAAATAAGAAGAACAAAGGTTAAGAAATATAAAATTTATTTAATTTATAAAATGAAGTTTTAATGTTTCATTTTTCATTGAACTAAACAAAATAATAATTACACAAAGTTAAAGGAATTCATTTTAACTGAGATCATGAATCGATTAATATTAGACCACCATTGAAAACCTAGAAGCAATAGATTCGAATCTCGCGTGCAAAATCATGGATACATACTGTTGAGGAGTCCTATAATAGAACAAAAATTCCGTCCAGTGCTTCCAGGTTCTCAAAGTTGGTCTAACATTGATCGATTCATTATCTCAACCAAGAAATCAACAATCTCCACAACTATATACTGAGAATTCATTTTCTTTTGAAGTTTGTTTAGTTATTATGACAGTAGAATGAGCGAATAAATAGATCTAAGAATACAAAGAGTATAATTATGTACTAAAATTTACAAGTCTAAGTATTGTTTAAAAATCATTGAGAAATGAATAAAAAAGAAATATTTTAAAATTGTTGATAGTTTGATGCCTTCTATATATATATGAGAAGAATGAACAATTGGATAGAAGTAGAAAGGAAGGCCCAGGAGAGAGTGGGTTGGAGAATGCTGGTCAGTGGCCTATGCTCCACTAGGCGTAAGTAAATAAGTAAGCTGAACAAATGTATAGTTTGTTGTGAGCATCGTTTATTAATTTGGAATATTGTGTAGGTCGAAAAGAAAAAACCACAGGTTCCCTAAATCTCAGGAAAAAAGATCAACTTTAATAATATCTACGCGATAATTGATGTCATATTAAATATAACACTTAAGATACTTTTATCTACAAAACTTTTGAGTTGATAATTCAACTGGTAGAACAATATCAACTGATAATAGTCAAATCGAAATTCTAATACGACATCTATGCTCTGTTAGAACTATCTTTTCATATTTTCAACAATACATCTTAAACAACTAAATCTGACCTACTTCAAAATTCGTATTCAACTTGGCATTTTTTTATTCAAAAATAAACTGTCAATATGTTCAAATTGATCATCATTGAATAGTATAATGATAAAAAACAATCATTTACCGGTTGAAGCACTCTACTTTAAACTATTGCCCCCTGAATGCCCTGGTACGGCCGAGAGTGGGGAGTCCGCTCTCCCTCTCGAAATACTCTCACATGGCCACGCGTATACAGCCTCTGCCAGGGAAGTCCTACTCACTGCCTTCTCGTGGCGGGGGTGTTGTTTACGAAAATGAGAGGACGAAAAGCGAATGTCCGGCGCTTTAACCGCATTCCAAATCAATGGTGCACATCGGCTCCAGTATCCTGCGGTAACAAATGGCGTATGAACCAATCGTTGGTCACCGGCTACCATGGGACTGCGTCTCCTTACGATGCTCCACTGCCTTGTGGGTTGGACCTTTAGGTCAAAGGCTCGGAGAGTGGCCCCCTAAGATAACCACCTGCTTCGGTTTGGGCACCCGGGCAGTATCACAGCCCACACACAAATGATGAACTCTTTATGCCTATGGAAATTACTTTTCTCGCTTCGAAAAACAAACAATTGATTCAAATTATTATCATTACAATTATTGTCATTATTAATACTATTATAATTACCATCATTGTCATTATTATTATTATTTTCCACATTATTCACCCTCTTTTATACTTATACAGCGGCTCGTCTTTGGTGGAAATTCGACGATATCTAAACGTTCTCGAGTCACTGTCCGGTTGAAAATTGTATGTTACCACCGAATACGAGGACTGAAGCAGTTTTTCTGAAACCACGTGCACCATTCAAACTGGCTGCCTTCAACGTTCGCACACTTATACAGGTCGGGCAACAGATAGGGCTGGCTATGTCCTAGGAAAGTCTTAATATTGATGTTTGTTGTCCATCCGAGACCCGTATTCAAGACTCTGGTGAAGTACTACAAATTCGATCTCCATCTGTCGCTTCAAAAAGCTTGTTTTACGTGCGCTTATCCGGGGACCCTGTGGCATATTCGTCTGGTCTCGCTGGCGTTGGTGTCGCACTAAGTGCTAGAGCTGAGGCAGCACTAATTGATTGGATCCCTATTAACAGTCGGTTGGTTATGTGCTGTTAGATTAGAGTTCCATCAAAGTGAGAAGAAATCGGCGTGAGAAACGATGTCTTTTCGTCATCTACGCCTATGCCCCGACAGATTGCAGCCCGGATGCAATCAAGGATGAGTTTTACCACCAGTTATCAGTTCTTCTCCAGAAAGTGCGTTCGACAGATATTGTAGTACTAGCCGGAGACTTGAATGCTCAGGTCGGGCGTCTAGGCACAGAAGAGAATCGTTTGGGTGACCGATGGGGACTTGTTGGTCGCAGGACAGATAACGGGGACCGTCTACTGCAACCGTGCACAGACCACAATCTGTTTCTGGCTAGCACTAACTTTCGGCACAGTCATCGCTGATGTGCTACCTGGCGTCCTCCCTCTGCATCTCAAGCCTTGACTCAGATTGATCACATCGCGATCAGCTACCGCTGGCGTGGTTGTGTACAAGACTGCCGCTCCTTTTGGAGTACCTATCTGGACTCTGACCATGCCTTGGTCTGCGCCAATCTTGCCTTACTTTTCAGTGGACAACGAAGTGACCACCATCAAAGGATTGATGTCAGCAAGTTGGTTGCAACTTCTGTTGCTAGTAAGTATCGAACCGAGCTAGCCTCTAGGCTAGCTACCACTCCACCGAAAAGTATAGATGAGCATTGGTTGCAATTGCATGACGCCATGAAAATGGCGGGAACAGTCAGTTGTGGGTTTGCGAAACGTCCCGCTTTTAAGCACTGGGTTTCTCCAGGTTCCTTACAACTCATCGAAGCCCGTCGGTCTACTCTGGGTGACCGTGAGTTTGACCATAAACGAAGGATGTTAGGTAAGGAAATTGGGCAAAGCTTGCGTAAGGACCGAGAAGCCTGGTGGTCGATGCGTGCTAATGAGCTGGAAGCAGCAGCTGCATCTGGTAACTACCGGAAGCTCTTCCAGATCATCCGAGACACTGGCAGCAAGAAGTCTGGTGTGAGAGAAACAATCTGCGAGGATGATGGGATGCCAATCACTAACATCCATCGACGTCTTGGACGATGGGCAGAATTTTTCGAAGGGCAGTTCAACTGGCCTGCTGCTCCGGCAACATCGGTCAGACTGTCCTGCCCTCCATGGCCGGTGACGACTGATCCACCAAATGAGGAGGAAGTCCGCAAGGAACTCCAACTCTTGAAGCGTTACAAATCACCTGGCCTAGATGACTTACCTCCGGCTCTTTTTAAAGATGGTGGTGACTTTTTGACTAAGGAACTGACGACGTTGTTTACAAAGGTCTGGGAGCTCGAGAGTGTACCAACGTCATGGAATGAGTCGATAGTTGTCCCTATCTTTAAAAAGGGTTCACGTCGTTCCTGTAACAACTATCGGGGGATAAGTCTACTTCCGATTGCGTCCAAGCTATTGGCTTCCGTCATTCTTCGTAGGTTGTTCGAAACCCGAGAAAGATTGACTCGCGAGGAGCAGGCTGGGTTTCGTTCTGGTCGAGGATGAATTGATCATATCTTCACCCTCCGCCAAATGTTAGAACACCGCCATACTTACCAAAAGCCAACAATCGTAGTGTTTCTTGACATCAGGGCTGCCTTCGATTCGTTGGATAGGACTGTTCTCTGTGATTGTCTATTGAAGAAGGGTGTGCCTGAGAAGTTTATTAACATCCTGAAAGCCCTATATAAAAACACCTCAGGCAGAGTGAGGGCATACAACCACCTCTCTTCATTGTTCCATTCGAGCAGTGGGGTTAGGCAGGGTTGCCCAATCTCACCATTCCTCTTCAACTTTGCCATCGATGACATTCTGGAAACAGCTCTGATGAATGTAAGTAATGGTGGTGTGGATCTGTTGCCTGGAGAAAGACTTCTCGACCTTGAGTATGCGGATGATATTGTCTTACAGTGTGATAATGCTCAAGGCATGCAATCCACACTTAATCGGTTGGCAATCAGTATCAGTAAGTATGGGTATGTGCTTTGCACCTTCGAAGTGCAAAGTACTTCTACAAGACTGGCAGGATTCTAATCCTGTACTCACCCTGGATGGTGAGCAGATAGAAGTAGTCGAGAAGTTCGTATATCTAGGATGCTACATAAGCGCTGGCGGTGGCGTGAATGATGGGATCAATACAAATATAGTGAAAACCAGGGTGGCTTATACCAATCTGGGCCATCTTTGGCGCCTTCGTGATGTTAGTCTGGCTGTAAAAGGTCGGATCTACAACGCGTCGGTGAGAGCAGTTTTGCTCTATGCTTGTGAAACCTGGTCTCTCCGAGTTGAGGACGTTAGACGACTCTCTGTGTTCGATCATCGCTGTCTCCGAAGGATTGCTGACATTCAGTGGCAACACCATGTCAGTAATGCAGAGGTTCGGCATCGTGTGTTCGGGCACAGAAATGATAATGCAGTTGGTGTCACCATCTTGAAACACCGACTTCGGTGGCTTGGACATGTTCTACGAATGTCGTCTCAGAGAATTCCACGTCGTGCATTATTTGCCGACTCTGGGACTGGTTGGAAGAAGCGGAGAGGTGGTCAGTGCATGACATGGTGTCGTGGTATGAAAGAAAGCTGCAAAGGACTGGCTTCTGTTGGTCCTTCACGACTCCCTGGTTGGGGTCTGAGAGATGGTGCTACACAGTGGCTAGAGACCTTATCAGATATGGCTCAGAATAGAAGCCAGTGGCGATCCTGCTGTAACCTTCTTTTACTTTCTTCATAAAAAGTGGTTGTGTCTCCTTTACCTGAAAGATTCTTCTGATTGTACCTTTTCGTTCCCTCGTTACTACCACACTACCTTACTCCAATCTCCTCGTTATTGTTCTCTTTTTTTGCGCTCCTTAGCTTTTTTTTCTTTTCTACTTCTCTTCGAATTCTCATTGTTTTGTGTGGCGCATATATATTGGCGCTCTCTTGTACCAATATTCATGTGTTCAAATAAATAAATAAATAAAACTTTAAACTATTAAATCGTTATTTTGAACTGTGATTTATCTCATTTGATTGAAGCAGTTAATGCATCTATACAATAACTGTATGACTTGAAATCAGTTAAATAAACTAATACTTATAAAATGAGTTAATTTTTTACTAATATAATTTAATGTGACTGACATAACGGAGATATAGTATCTTCTGATTGTATACATATAACTTTTTATACATGATGTGAATAGTCACTAGTGACATTATTCTAAAGGGAATTGTCACGTTCTGTACACAAACACAGTAATAAATCGTAAGTACTGTGACATACAATAAGTTAATCGCTTCAGTTATGTATTCAAGTGTTTATCTAAAACAAAGTTTATCCTATAATTTGTATTTTACGTGATATATATATATATATATATATATATATATATATATATATATATATAATTAGAATAACCCATAGTGTCATTTAATAAGAGAAAGAGAATTCAGCGAAGAAAATTTTCCTTTCGACGAAATCATTTACTTAAGCTGTACATTCGGATATATAGTTAGATGGAAAATGCATGTCCATAGGAGGACAGAAAAAATTGCATCATCGAAATGGATTCGAGGATAAATAACAAATGAGGTTATGTACTAATCAAGGGGTATATATATATATATATATCATGGATTTAATTTAGATAATTACCTTACCACAGAATAGGTATTATGAAATAATCCACATTATCAACAATGACAGAAAAGAGAATAAATGATCTATGTGTATATTGGTAATTTTAACCTGTTCATTTATGTAAAACTTATTATATAGAATTAATAATTATTTTCTAATGTACATTAATATTATAATATCTAAAATGAAATGAATGAATTTATTGAATGATTTTGGCTAAATTACATTATATAATCCGAAGTATACAACGCATCTATAATCATATAATTAAAGGTCAGTGCAATTTACATCTTTGATTAAACAATTAAAGTGATAAATAATGGTAGAATAAGTCTTATGTAACATTTGTTCGTATCACAATTTACATAACGATATTTAAAACAAAAAAAAACTTAAAATGTTAGACGTTAATGAATGAAAAGTTCCAATGTATAATTCTAAGATTGTTTAACAATGAAATGCTTATACCTTTGTCATAATGCAAAAGAAAACTATATTTTATTTTTCGTAATAACTAATTGTTGTCTTTAAAACGAATAGATCGAATAGCAGTTATCAAAAGATAAGGTCCTAATTAGTTATCATGATACAGTAAAATTAATCTTTATTATTCATACCTGATATGACTAAAAAGTCAATTGATCTCTGAAACATTTGAATTAGATATTTCTTTTAAATTATTGCATCACAATCAATTAGTAATAAACAACGTAGGGCCTAGCATAAATGTATACCAGGTTAAGATGACCTATATTGCTTTAACACAACGAGATGAAACTAAATACTAAGGCACTGAAAGTAGTAGTATAATAGATCGCTAAAAATGATATTAATGCAGTGTCCTTCAAGAAAATTTCGATGAATAACGAATATTTTTAATTTTTCGTTAATAACTACAAAAAAGAAACTAGATGGGATTTCTAAAACTAATCAAATTGAAGAAAACTACAGTTTTGTGTCCTTTTACATTGATTAGTATCATTTGCACAGCCACATATTTTACAAATTCTATCTAAACATTAGACGATTAGTAAAAGGTTACAAACCACTGAGATAAAATCAACCCAAAATACTTGTTATTGCCTTAGTAATATGACAGTCAGTAATTCGAATTTTACGTCCGGTAGCTAAGATTGTCTTTATTGTTTCGTAATTTCTTTAGTAACATCACAAGAATTTTATGTAGATGATATAGAATATTGCTGATAAACACCACTCGCTTCATCTTTTAATTGATTAAATCGCTACCACAAGAATCAATACTGATCATAATTGGCATTGATTACTCATTATTCTAAATCATTTTACGACATTTGTGTTTAATGTCCATGGGTACGAATAGTAACTGAGATTCAAATTAATCATAATTATCAGGCATACATATAAAGAACTCACCAAACTTAGGAATTATAACCAGCCGTGAGTACACAGCAACATGAGAAGCTTGATTAAGAATGTATAAATAATGATTTATTTGAGAACCTCGAAGTCCTAGTAAGCGGAATATCCTCTGAATGCTTGAGTCCTGAGTATAATTGAAAGTCTTTGAAGATGGTGAACCAACATTCGATGAAAAACCGATCCCATGTTCAGGCTTGTCTGTTGTCGAAACTCTAAATCCTTGAGATTGATGTAGATAAGAAAGACTAGATGGTAAAGCTTCAACACTACCATCAATAATAATTGGACAAGCAGAAGAATCAAATATAATCTCATTAGGCAAGTTATCATGCAAAGATGATTTTGTTTGATCATTTGAAGTCGAATTACTATGCTTGGACACCGAAATATTTTCATGAGATGGAGCAATCGGTGTAACAATTCTACAGTCTTCTAATATTACGTCAATACTAGTCATCACATCCATGATGGTTAATCTAGAAAAAGTTTTAAAAAAGAAAGATTTGAAGATCCATAGTACAGTTTGTGAGGAAATTTTTACTTGGATACCACTTTATTTGAACCGAACAAGAAATTCATATCAGTTAGGAAGTAAACCTTTATGAAAACAGCTGCTTTAACGAAAATAAATACATAGTTAATATCGACTCAAAACTTGTTAACACACCTAGGATATCTCATGAGAATAACCGTCATTTTATCTTATGAGCTGAGAATAAGACAAATTTTATATTGCCTAAAACGAGTATCCTACTGAATATAAAATGTTTGTGTATATATGGTTTGTTCAAATAACTTATATTAAAAAGAAGACAGTAGTATTAACTGTGATAACTACAGTGGCATTACTCTTCTCTCAATACCGGGAAAAGTCTTCAACAGGGTATTGTTAAACAGGATGAAGGATTCCGTAGAAACCCAACTTCGAGACCAACGGGCAGGATTCCGTAAGGATAGATCGTGTACAGACCAAATCGCAACTCTACGGATCATTGTGGAACAATCAATCGAATGGAATTCATCACTCTACACCAACTTCATTGACTACGAAAAGGCATTTGATATCGTGGACAGAACAACACTATGGAAACTTCTTCGACACTATGGCGTGCCTCAGAAGATAGTCAATATCATACAGAACTCATATGATGGATTACACTGCAAAATCGTGCATGGAGGACAGTTGACAAAGTCGTTCGAAGTGAAGACTGGTATCAGGCAAGGTTGCTTACTCTCGCCCTTTCTCTTTCTCCTCTTGATCGACTGGATCACGAAGACATCAACATCCGAAGGGAAGCACGGGATACAGTGGGCATCTAGGACGCAGCTGGACGATCTAGACTTCGCAGATGATCTGGCCCTTCTATCCCAAACGCAACAACAATTGCAGGAGAAAACGACTAGTGTAGCAGCAGCCTCAGCAGCAGTAGGTCTCAATATACACAAAGGGAAAAGCAGGATTCTCCGATACCACACAGCATGCACCAATCCAATCACAATTGACGGAGAAGATTTGGAAGATGTAAAAACCTTTACATATTTGGGCAGTATCATTGATGAACAGGGTGGATGTGATGCAGATGTAAAAGCGCGGATCGGCAAAGCAAGAGCAGCATATTTACAACTGAGGAACATCTGGAACTCAAAGCAACTGTCAACCAACACCAAGGTCAGGATTTTCAATACAAATGTCAAGACAGTTCTACTGTATGGGGCAGAAACCTGGAGAACTACGAAAGCCATCATCCAGAAAATACAGGTGTTTATTAACAGTTGTCTACGCAAAATACTTCGGATCCGTTGGCCGGACACTATTAGGAACAACCAATTGTGGGAGAGAACAAACCAGATCCCAGTGGAGGAAGAAATCAGGAAAAAGCGCTGGAAGTGGATAGGACACACATTGAGGAAAGCACCCAACTGCGTCACAAGATAAGCCCTCACATGAAATCCTCAAGACCAAAGGAAAAGAGGAAGACCAAATAACACATTACGCCGAGAAATGGAGACAGACATGAAAAAATGAACAAGAATTGGACGGAATTAGAAAGGAAGGCCCAGGATAGAGTGGGTTGGAGTATGCTGGTCGGCGGCCTATGCTCCATTAGAAGTAACAGGCGTAAGTAAGTAAGTAAGTATATATGGTTTGTTCAAATAACTTATATTGAAGACAGTAGTATCAATGACGTGACGGAAACTGACTCCTAACGTTTAAGCTTTCCAATAATTTATTTTGCATGAAAATTCCTCTTAAAAATGTTTTCATTCTCACCGTTTATTTTTTGGCATTCATTCTAGGCCTCATCTTAAGGATATGCTGCAACTTAACAGTTATGGGACACAATGCACCTGTCATAGTTGCAACTCAACAAGACAATGAAGCACAATAATTATGCGGGAAATGTATGAGAGTCGCACCCATTATTTTGTTTTCACGGTATTGTGATCTGTGGAATGTAAAATTAGATTGGGCACAGAATATTAACAAATGGGAAGATTTCCTAATACGAATGTGCACCGAATGCAGGGTTAAACAGGTCGAACGACTCATACACATTCCAACATTTAAAAAGCACTTGTGAAAAAAATGATAAAGAAAAGAGGACTTTAAGATAGGGCAGTAACATGAGTATAAATTAAACTATGTATAGATTACTATTCAAACAATAAGACAGTATGAACAGATGTGTATTAAGTGATACTACTACACTTATAAGATCCAAATAAGTAAACTAAGCTATGAAAGTGAATAATAATAATAATAATAATAATAATAATAATAATAATAATAATAATAATAATTTTTGTAGCATAAACATTAACAGATCACGATCGTCTTCATCATCATCGATCAAGAATAACATAAGGAAAAATTCAAAAAAATAAATGATCTGCGACTCCTGATAGAGCTCTACACGCTAGCTAGAGCATTATAGTAAATAAATGACACACGCATAACTTTTCCAGTGGATATTCGAAGACAGTAAACCACATTTCATGATATTAATTTCAGCACTTGACATTATCAACAATATTCCTGAACTTTGGAAACTAACGACTTATAATGAACAACTAATTACAAATAGGTTTCTAGTTCAGTTGATATAATCCAACATATGACAAAGACCCATTAAATGATATTGTCCCATTTTTTAATATTGTATGAAAATAACCAAAACGAATGGAATTTAGGCGAAATGGCAGTGAATGAAAATGGCACTTATAAGATATAAACAAAGGCCTTCAAATGTACTGGTACGGCTGAGGATGAGGGCAGTCGCCTCCCCACCACGAAATGCTCTCGTACGGCCACGCTTATACAGCGACTGCCAAGGAAGTCCTGCTCACTGCATCCTTGCGGTGGTGTTACGAACTTGAGAGGATAAAAATCGAATGTACGGCGCTTGAACCGGGTCGGTGGATATTTAGGATACACCTAGAGGAAGTATAAGACCCCGATTCCAAACCAATAATGCACATGGGCTCCGGAATACTGAAGGAACAAATCGCGTATGAAGGTATTCTTGGACACCGGCTACTAAGGGACTGAACATCCTAACATTGCCCCACTGACTTTTGAATTAGACTCCTAGGTCAGGCTCAGGGAGCGGCCACTACGAAAACCACCTGCTTCGGTTTAGGAACCCGAGCAGTGTCTCAGGCTACACACAAACTAAATAATGACAACCATAAGACCTATTTACGCTTCAATTATCATTCTAGCAACTCATACTCAGAACTACTTGTCAATACTTGTTTTTATTTTAAATTGCGTTACTTGCCTATTCCTTTATTCTTCAAATTGTATAGTATACAATAACCCCTTTCTGTTGTTTTATTCAATTAGTGGGGTTAGACAAGGTTGTTTGATCTCCCCATCGCTCTTCAACCATGCCCTCGATGACATTTCGCGGGCAACTCTGTTGGATGTAGGTAATGTTAGTGTCGATCTGTTAACATAAGAAAGACCTCCCGACCTTGGGTGTGCGGTTGATATAGTCATACTGTGCGATTATATCCATGACATGCAATCTACACTTAATCAGTTGGCAATCTGCGTCCATAGGTATGCCATGTCAGCCAGTAACAACGTAGAACTTCGTACGTACGTACATCAGTTCGAGTTGCCATACCACATCAGCACATAGATACAATTGTCGATTCAAATCCTATGGTGGTAGAGATAGTAAAAGCATAAGCAGTAATCGGATAGATTAGAGGTTGAAGATGTTAGTCAAGGAGTATAATCCAGTGAAATAAATTCGGCAAGATAAAAAAAGAAAGGGACATGAAGATTTCAGGTTAGAATTTGGGAGGACACAAAGAGTAGATGCACATGAGCCATTGCAAACGATTCTAAGCCATCTCATTCAAGGTCTCTAACCATCGGTTGCAATCGTCTCGCGGATCCCAACCAGGTAGTTTACACCTACCAACATGACTCAGTCCACTTGTCAGTGACCTCATGGATTTGTGTCATGTTTTGGTCTGGCCGCCTCTAGCTTTCTTCCAACCTACTTTTATGCCATGAAACATCGCACGTCAGGACGGTCGGTTGTTGGGCATACGCGAAACATGTCTCAGCTATCTCAACTGATGAAGTTTCACTACTTCATCAATTGATTTGCCAATCTTACCTAGTACCGTTTTCTAACAACTGCGTTAATTACTCGGTGGTCCCAGGATATACGAGAAATGTTTCGAGGACACCTATGATCAAATACTAGTAACCTACGACTATCCCCTACTTTTACCGGCCATGTTTCCCTGCCATAAAGTAGGACGGGACGAACTGCTGAGTAGTAAACACCTCCATTGATTGATAGACGGATATCTCGCCTACTCTATAAATGATGCAAGTTGGAAAAAGCCAGTCGAGCCTTCTGTATCCGTGCTGAGATTTCGTCACACACTAGACCATATGCTTTGCACCTATCAAGTTTAAAGTACTTCTACAAGACTGGTAGGACACTGGACGCGCACTCATCCTGGGTAGTGAACAGATGGAAGCAGTAGAGAAGTTCCAGTATCTAGTTAGCTACCTAAGTGCTGGTGATGACGTGAGATCAGGTCAACTCACGTAAAGTGGAAGCCAGAGCGGTTTATGCCAATCTGAGACATTTTGACGCCTTTGTGATGTTAGCCTGACTGTAATAGGTCGGGGTCTACAACGCGTTGGTGAGAGTAGCTTTGCTCTATGTTTGTGACACCTGGCTTCTCAGAGTTAAGGATATTGGACGACTCTGTGTTTGATCATCGCTGTCTCCGAAGGATTGCTGACATGCAGTGGTAACACCATTTTAGTAATGCAGAGGTTCGGCAACGTGCTTCTAAGCAGCAGACAGGTACATCAGAAAAGAGACCGTTTAATGATGAACTTAATACAGGAAACGAAAATGGTGTGGTCTAACATAAACTACTTGATAAGACGATGGGGTATCAGCCATCTCATAAAATATCAAAACTACAGATTAGTCATATGTTTAGTTTTTTATGCCTGAGGAACATTTGTTCTGGACTACGAGCTTCGAAAAAAACTGCATTCAGTAAGTAATCAATTTGTTAAACACAAGATTTTAAGTGAAAAAAATATATTCTAACCATTCATTCCACTCAAAAGATGTCAATAATGAAGTAAAAATTTGAGAAATTAAGATATTCCCCTATCATTATTCGTTAAGAGAATCATTTTAATCTAAATATTTGATCATTCCACGGAAGCAGTGAGGTCAAGTAATGTGCCAGGTAGGACAAAATAAGGTTTGAAACATATTTCTAAAGCGCAGCTGTACACATGAGATAAATAAACAATTAAGTCTAGAAAACTGACGAAATGTTTCAACAATATTTGATTTTAGAAATCCAGCTAATTCATGTTCCTTTTGAATGAAAATCTAGATATTAAGCAACCATAGTTGTTTATAAAATACTTACTTAAAGTTTTTGACGTCTGCTTATTTTTAAAGACCACTTACAAAACTAGGTACAAACGCTATCGAAACAAGCAAAATAAAATGTCAATTCAAATTAAACTAATTGCTGAAAGACTCACAAATATAATCTGCCTTCCATGGGGGCCAGCTCCAAGTCAAATGGTGACATTAAGAATGATAATGTCCTTATATGGTATGGATTAATGTTGATTGATTCTGTTGATGAACTTGGAGGTATCAAAGAACTGTGCGTAGGTTGGTCCGCCGTAGAGTGAACCACAGAATGATAAGAAGGTTTGCGTCGCTTTTTCCGGTGGAAAAGTTTTTCTACTGCATGAGAACCAAATATTGTTCTGCTGGGGAGCTTATAAATACCCTCAATAAATGGTTTATCATAAGAAATTGATTGATTGTGTCTTAACTGAGGATTATAGTTGTATGAAATATGTCCATCAATATTAGAAATGTCGTGTCTGACAGATGGTAATAGCCATGCTATGCATTCCTTCTAAATATAAAGTTCACAAAATATAAAATCTTAGTTAAAAACCAAAAAATCTAATAGTATTACGGAAATTCAAAAGAAGGAATAGTGATGTTTCGTCATTACTATAAGAATAAACATACAATTATAAGAAATGTTACTTGATTTTCAAATTACAAGGACTACCTCATAAGTAAATTAATATATTTGTAATATCCCAAAAAGTAGAAAAATTAAATGTAATGACATTTCGTGACTCAATGTAAGTCACTTCTTCAGAGAATAAATCAGAAGAAGTGGCTTACACCGAGTCACGAAACGTCATAACATTTAATTATCCTACGTATTGAGATATTACATATATATATTAATCTATTCATAGCAAACTACCCAATGTTCAATAGTTATTATAACCAACTGTACCAGGGATTGTTTTACTGTACTTGTCTGTTTAACTTTACCAAAAACATACATTCTTCCGTTGATTGTGACCTTGCACGAATTCGGTTACGCTCAGTAACCCCACTTGTAACCTGGCACGATCTCGGTATTCTTTCGATACCACGAGATCGCCAACAAATACATCTCGACAACAGCCATCAACTACCTTCTGATATTTGACCTACGGGGGATCTTATCGGTTAACTGGCATGTAGTCTTCCTGTAGTGGTGATCATAGTCAACCGCGACTCGACACCACACTACAGCCCTATGCTCTTAACCCTTAATTTCAATTTCCGAATCTCTCTAATGGTTAAAGATACATTATTATTCCTAAGCGTCATGTCCTTTTGTTCTATTGCAAGTAGACAGATAACTCACTAAACTTATGGATGTTGATCAACTAAGGCCGATCATAAGAAACTCAAAATGTTCTAAATTCTTGTGAGTTGCTCAATGTTTTATTTTTCTTACCCTGAAAATTTTACAATTTTATACTCTTTCATATTCTTTGATTCGCTATTAGTCCTTACCATCTCTAAACCACATATAATCTGACTTTTTTAAAAACGTTTACCGCTAATTATCTTCATAGCAGTGTGATATACTAAATGGATGTTTAACCCATAATACAAATGCTTTATCCATCTGATTTGCTTGTAATATCAAACTAGTAGAGACAGTGTATTCCAACTATGGGCTTTGATTGAAGCAATATTCATACTTACCACAAACGGAAGAGAGCCTAACATCACAAAAGGAGGGAGAGTGGCGTTACTGACCAACAAAAGTGCCTCATGTAACAAACAGTTACTTGAGAATAAATTATTATTATTATTATTATTAGACAATAGTTTATAAATACAGGTACTTTTCAGATGATGGTTATAGTAGTTCTCCACATTTGAGCCTCGTACAGTAGAACTGTTTTGACGTTCGTATTGAAGATCCTGAATTTGATATTGGTTGACAGTTGTTTTGAGTTCCATATGTTGTTCAGCTATAGGAATAAGGCCCTTGATGTGAGTTTTCATCTGCGTCGGATACTCCTTGTTCACCGATGATGCAGCTGACTATGTACGTCAAAGATTTCACATTTTCTAGAGCTTCTATATCAAATATGATTAGGTTAGTGTTTTCCATGTTGTATTTGAGGACCTTGCTTAATCCCTTGTGTATGCTGAGGACTACTGGTGCCGAGGATGCTGCTGCTACGCTGGTTGTCTTATATTCCATAGAAGGGCTAGGTCACATGTGAAATGCAAATTGTTCAGCACCATGCATGCTGTCCATTGTATTCTATGCTTCCATTGAGATATGGGGGTCTTCGTAATCCAGTCCACCACCAGATGATAGAGAAAGGGTGGGAATAATTAGTCTTGTATGACATTGATCCTCAACTGAAGTGAATCTTCCGGCAGTCCCCCACTTGCGACATCATCATATTTTCAAGAATATAACGAATATATAATAAAAAGTGAATAAAGACTCTAAATATTATGGTGAACTGTAATTGGTACACGTAGACAGTGATGAAAGATAGTAATGTGAAACAAATTACAACCCAACTTGTGCAGAGACAAGAACTAAGTCGTCGTAACAATTAAAGTTCAATAATAAAATCTAAGTGTTTCTTTTTGCAGCCTTTTAGACAGATTCGATGAAAATGTGTAAATTTCGAGGGGAAGCTTTCCCCACTTAAGCACAACATGTTGCAACAACAATGATTTGTGATTATCTTTGTGAAAATTTTTCGCCACAGGTAACTTATTTGAGCTTTTTCCAAATCACTGTAGACTCACAGGTCGTGTTAAGTTATGGTCAAAACAAATATTCTTCGTCTTTAATACTTTTTCTGCCTTCAAAAAGTTACTAAAATTAGTACAGAAGTACCAAATACCTTCAAAAGAAAGATAAAATAATGATGCACCAAATAGTAGCGGGCAATGGGAAATCTATAAGTAACGATAACATTTACGAAATCAAAATGTTCATTGTTTGGTAGTCAAATAAAGATAAAGAGTACTAAGATCAAACAGAGGTTGTAGTAAGTGTTTGAAGCAAAACAGAAATGGCGACCTGATCGTTCACCTACATGACTGAGAACCTGTTTTGACTATTGAGGTTGTAATGAGAGGACATATCAACTACTGAGCCTATACGTGGAGACCGCTATCAGCCTGATTGATGAAATAGTAAAACCTTACTCAGTCGCCAAAAATAACGAAACATGTCGCCAGGTCTTAGATCGCATGAGGCTAAGTGGCTACAGTTTCAGTAAACATAATATATAGCTTTAGATTGAGATGGACACTGTTAAGCAGCGACTTTGTGTCTAAAGTGCTCGGTTACTCCACCGAATTCAGAATGAACATCTAGGTATATTATATCAGAATGGATTAAATTCGAATTTGAACACGCATGCTTGACAGATGAGGAAATGTCTGGACATACACTAAATACAAACATAGCATGCAGCTTCAACGATACAGAGTTGAGGAAATTTTAGCATTGCTCACCTAAACGGATGATCATAGCTGCTTCCAACGCTATAGAACCTCCTAAAGGACAAACTCAACAGTAGAACATCATGAAAGTATGTGCTGTGATTTCAAGTCATAGTAGAAATCGACAAATTCAAGTCTTACTATAGCTTTATCAATCATTGAAGACTGGTGAAAAAAGAAACCGAACTGCATGATGACCATACTCACCTGAAAAGAGGTGGTCATGTAAGCACCAATATACCACATGCCAACAACAGGACCATGAATATTTATGTCAATGTTTGCTGCATTTCGAAGATTAATTGACTTCACATGAAATTGCGAGTAAGTCCCACAATCGTCCGAAGTAACTGTTAGATTGAATGATTCCTTAATCGGTATGTTTAGTGAATAGGAGTTTCTTGGCTCTAAAACACCATTTGGCACTGGGACATCGAATGGTCTGACTACAGGAAAAGATCCTGAACGAAGAGTTCTAGAAAAAGACAAAACGTGTAATAACAAGGCAAACAACCAACAAACTGATGTTTTCAGGACTGCAACCGTGAAAGGTGACGGATATTGAGAGTTTGGTAACGAATGTGTGTTGTGGTATGGGGAAATTAAAATAAACTATATCGTTTGTAGACAAGAAGCTACGAAGTGCGAAATGTGGTAGTTTCTCCGTCTCTAGAACTGCAAAGAAACAGTAAATAACTAACTGGAAGACTTACTTGAGAAAGTTAAAGATAGTATTAAGTTTAAAATAAATAAAATATGCCACAACATTATCAAAGAGCGTTATCCCACCAACACAACTAAATGACGCGCAGTATGTATCAAGGTAATTACACTCAAAACCTGATCATTACAATGCTTTACTAAAAATACTCGAAACATTTTTTTAGATAGTCGGTCTCATTTTTACAAAAATTTATTGTTTGGTTGTTTTTCCATAGACTAACAATTTCACAGGTTCAAATGTTTGCTTAGAGAGAGTTCGTGAATTCTTTTCTAGCATGCTCTTATGCTCAGTCTTCAGTCTTCAGTAATAAGGATAGGAGGTCTATCGACCTATATTAATCCTTGCAGTTTGTAATACTGTGGAGGTCCGATCTCGCTTTGAATATATTAACAGAAGGTGCTGATATTACGTGTTCCGGTAGAGAATTCCAGTAATTCACTACTCGGTGCGAGAAACGAAACTCCAGACGTAAACGATTTGATCTCGGTTTTTGAACCTTCTTTAAATGTCCTCTCAAGTGATCAGTCCTGGACAGAAGTAAAAGATAAGACATGTTAATACCAAGGTCATTGTTCAGTATACGATAAGCCAATATTAGATCACCCCGTACTCTACAGTAAGATAACGGAAATAAGTTGGGGTGTCTCAATCTGTCTTCATAAGATAGGTTAGATAGACCCTGTACCATCTTAGTACCTCGTCGTTGAGCTCTTTCCAGCATCTCTGATCCATACTTGAAACAAGGACACGCTGCTTCAATCCCATATTCTAAATGTGGTCGCACGTAAATAGGGTATAATAATCTGAACATTTCATCATCTAAATACTGGAAAGACCTACGAATAGACCATAATACCCTATAGCCTTTCGCAGTAGCAGCCTTACAGTGACTAGTGGTTTTGAGATCGCTGACTAATATGATTCCTAAATTTTTATAGTTTCTTACTTCGTGTAGCACGTCTCATCCACCTACGATTCATCACAGTTATTTATTTGCATCACTACACTTCTATTAGGATCTACTTCCTGTCCAATCATGCCACCAATGAGCTAAGATCATTCTGTAATACTATCCTATCCGACATACTGTCTATGAGTCTCCAAATTTTTATGTCATCACTGTTGATAAACTGGATAAGATTCAAGAAAGGAGGAACAAGAAGGCAGCAATCAATACCAGTCGAACAAGAGCAGCAAAAGCCAAGGCACAAGCTGAATACACAGAAGTTAACAAATAAGTGAAGAGGAGCATCAGAACCGACAATCGTAAATATGTGGAAGATTTAGCAACGACGGCGGAAAAGGCTGCAAGAGAAGGAAACATGAGACAATTGTGTGACACGACAAAGAAACTCTCTGGAAATCGCCGCAAACCAGAATGACCAGTGAAAAGCAAGGAAGGCGAGGTAATCACCAACATTGAAGAGCAACAAAACAGGTGGGTAGAACACTTCAAAGAACTCTTGAATCGACCAGCTCCACTGAACCCACCCAACATCGAAGCAGCACCCACGGACCTCCCAATCAATGTTGGCCCACCAACAATTGAAGAAATCAGCATGGCCATCAGACAAATCAAGAGTGGCAAAGCAGCAGGACCAGACAACATCCCAGCAGAGGCACTAAAAGCAGATGTAGCGGCAACTGCAAGGATACTCCACATTCTCTTCAATAAGATTTGGGATGAGGAACAAGTACCAACAGACTGGAAAGAAGGACTCCTGATCAAAATACCGAAGAAAGGCGATCTCAACAAGTGTGATAAATACAGGGCCATTACTCTTCTCTCAATACCGGGAAAAGTCTTCAACAGGGTATTGTTAAACAGGATGAAGGATTCCGTAGAAACCCAACTTCGAGACCAACGGGCAGGATTCCGTAAGGATAGATCGTGTACAGACCAAATCGCAACTCTACGGATCATTGTGGAACAATCAATCGAATGGAATTCATCACTCTACACCAACTTCATTGACTACGAAAAGGCATTTGATATCGTGGACAGAACAACACTATGGAAACTTCTTCGACACTATGGCGTGCCTCAGAAGATAGTCAATATCATACAGAACTCATATGATGGATTACACTGCAAAATCGTGCATGGAGGACAGTTGACAAAGTCGTTCGAAGTGAAGACTGGTATCAGGCAAGGTTGCTTACTCTCGCCCTTTCTCTTTCTCCTCTTGATCGACTGGATCACGAAGACATCAACATCCGAAGGGAAGCACGGGATACAGTGGGCATCCAGGATGCAGCTGGACGATCTAGACTTCGCAGATGATCTGGCCCTTCTATCCCAAACGCAACAACAAATGCAGGAGAAAACGACTAGTGTAGCAGCAGCCTCAGCAGCAGTAGGTCTCAATATACACAAAGGGAAAAGCAGGATTCTCCGATACCACACAGCATGCACCAATCCAATCACAATTGACGGAGAAGATTTGGAAGATGTAAAAACCTTTACATATTTGGGCAGTATCATTGATGAACAGGGTGGATGTGATGCAGATGTAAAAGCGCGGATCGGCAAAGCAAGAGCAGCATATTTACAACTGAGGAACATCTGGAACTCAAAGCAACTGTCAACCAACACCAAGGTCAGGATTTTCAATACAAATGTCAAGACAGTTCTACTGTATGGGGCAGAAACCTGGAGAACTACGAAAGCCATCATCCAGAAAATACAGGTGTTTATTAACAGTTGTCTACGCAAAATACTTCGGATCCGTTGGCCGGACACTATTAGGAACAACCAATTGTGGGAGAGAACAAACCAGATCCCAGTGGAGGAAGAAATCAGGAAAAAGCGCTGGAAGTGGATAGGACACACATTGAGGAAAGCACCCAACTGCGTCACAAGATAAGCCCTCACATGAAATCCTCAAGACCAAAGGAAAAGAGGAAGACCAAATAACACATTACGCCGAGAAATGGAGACAGACATGAAAAAATGAACAAGAATTGGACGGAATTAGAAAGGAAGGCCCAGGATAGAGTGGGTTGGAGTATGCTGGTCGGCGGCCTATGCTCCATTAGAAGTAACAGGCGTAAGTAAGTAAGTAAGTTTGTCTCCTGTCATGTAGAAAGTTATTTATCCAATTATTCTCTTCTCCCACGGAAGAAAGCTATATTTCAGCGGTAATCCAAGAGGAAATAAACAAGTTGTACGAATGGACTATTTCGTGGAATATGCCACTTAATGTTGACAAAAGTGGATTTATTCACATTGGTCACTGTCTTAACTTAAATCTGACTGTTCAGACACATACACTCAAACCTCTCAACACTGTTCGTGACCTGGGTTTAAGATATAGCAATAGTCTGAACTTTTCTGAACACATTATATCTCAAGTATCCAAAGCTAGAAAGCTCATCGGATTGATAATGATAAACTTCAATAATATCGAATCGAGATTGTTACTATACAGAAAATGTGTCTTGCCCATTCTTAAATATGGTATTTTAGTTTACAGCAACTGTAGACATAATGACCTGATTAGAATTGAAGGTGTTCAAAGAAAGTTCACCAAAGCTGTTCTGGGGTATTCCGATAACAAAGACTATCACCAAAGATGTCAACAACTCAACTTAGAACCTCTTTGGATCAGACGTATCAAATTAAATCTTGCCTTTATCTACCGGCTTATTAACGGTATTTCCTACTCCTCGGTATCCACCCCTTCATACCTTATGATATCATCCCACAATCTACGCAATAAGGAGAATATTCTAGCGATTCCAAGAACCCACACAAACGTACGTCAGAATTTTTTCCTTATTTGCTACTCAACCATGTGGAACAGACTCCCAGTGAACCTCTGTTGCAGTGAAACTACAACCCGGTTCAAAAGTCTCCTTGACGATTTTCTTTCCGAAAGTGGATTATGTCACCTATTGAATATCAATGTATTCAATAAAGATTTATACAAACAAGGTCCGTCATCCATTTAATTGCTTGAAAAGCAAAATAAAACTTCTAAATCTTTTCAAGTCTATTTTATTTTATTTCTATTTATCTTAATATATGAAATCTGCTTATGTTCGTTTTTATCATTATTTCCGTTATTAATATCATTATTAGTTCCCCGACACATTAGATATTCTTTTCGTATCTTCTTATCCTTCTAAACATATTTAACTCCAGATTGTCCTTTGAAATTAATTGTGACTTTCATAGCATCATTCTTAATTATTATTGCACAAATATTTATACTAGTATCCGGCTTCACTCTGTATACTATTACATACATCTAAATGTATTCATCTGAGTGCATTAAAGGATTTTTATTTTATTTTCCTAAATTGTTGGTTTCCTTCTGAGGTTGATATTCATTACATAATTATTATTCTTATCATGAATCAAAACTTTTCACTAAGTGTTCACTTCTTTTCTCTCTTCTTTCCCTCTAAATAAATATTATTCTTAAGATTACGAAGTTTGTAATTAAAACAATAACACGTGTTACACTTAAATTAAATTCTCAGACCCGTTTTATCTTCACTATGCATATATGACTACTCATACATATTGATATTTTATTATCCTTTACACTCAATTGAGACTTTCATCGCATCACTCTAAACTATAACTGCACAAACATTTATTCTAGTGTCATATCTTACTACAATAATAAGTTGTTTTTTCTTAATTATTTTTCGTTACTAATTTGACGATATACACATAGTCGTTTGTTCTTGTTTTATGTTCAGAAACACGCCAATTAAACTGTTTGCGTATTTCACGTCTCCTTTATTTCTATTCCCTTGTTTTCCCCATTTCCTTCTTTAAACTCAATTCAATATTCTTCTCAATTGCACAGACCCGATTTATTATTATTAATATTCTACTATTATTGCTCTAATTTTTTTTAAATGGCAAGTATAATGCTGACATTATTGAAAATTGTGTATTATTGCATTTTTTGAAGAAACCCGAAATGGTTTCTTCACAACACTTATGTACCCATAAGATGTTTGTGAATAATAATAATAATAATAATAATAATAATAATAATAATAATAATAATGGATTCCAAAACGTTACAATTCGAATTTAAGTCCAGAGTGGGAGACTTTATCGAAGGCTAT